AATAAATAAATCGATAAAAAATATAAACAGTATGTGTGTGAACGAAGAACAGTATTTACAATGCAAAATGTCTCTTATTAATGTTTACGAATCTAACGCAGATGGGCATTGCTCCCACCCTAATGATACACTCGCACCCTCAGAGCTGAACTGCTCGGACTGTCAGCAACATCGTGGTAAAATGCGTCAGTACTGGCATAGGATGGAATGCGACAATAAGACACTTAAGTCTATTGACAAAACCTGCTGCAGCTCTTGGTGTAGGCAGTTGGCCTCTTTGTTCAGTCAGACGTCTTCCTGGAGAGATCACTGTTTTTAAAATGTGGGGTGCAGAAAAATGAAAAAACTCGCATGCAGTTTTCTATTATATTGACAAATACAACAGACTCGTCGTATTTGGGCAGAATCCAAAAGTGAAACAGTGCTGGAAACTGAATTTTCCTGCCATTAAGCTGACACCATTGAGCGAGGTAGGTGTATTTTATTTTTGTAACATTTGTAGTGCCTATTGTTATTGGTCCTTTAATTCTCCCCCTTTAGACACTGTAGAAACCAATTCCCTCATAACCACAGTCCGCATAGTTATCGATATAAGTTCGACTTTCGCGCGAATCATGCAAAACTCGAAATGTAATCGCGAGTACGTTCTTTCTTATGCTATCAGTATTTCTTATGCTATTTATAATCTTGTAATCAGTCGTTTTATTTTTTAATGTATGACAGTATGTTCGTAACACTTTACCTAGAAACCACCGGCGATGACGTGTAAATAGAAGAGTTCGATCGAATCGTCAGGAAATTAAACTCCTCTTAAGTTTATTGGTTAAAGAAAGCTCAATTTTCCAGATTGTGTAACCCCATGAATTTATTAATTCCTTTAAGAGCTAGGCTACTGAAGGTTTTGTCTAATCAACTACTAACTCAGTCCCCAGGCAAGAAAAACTTGTCGACACCATCCTAAAAGAAGTGAAAAACTCTCCTGGAAATAAAGTAACTAAAAATATGGAACGCACTTTCCTCACTGTTACTGATTTGGAGAAAGTCATCGGAAATTATGCTAAAAATCGCCTTAATCAAACCGTACCTGAGATTGACATCCGTGGTGAACATGCAGGTGAGTAGATCCTAAAAGCTGATTTGGAAGTTTTCTTGATTTCTAATTCGGAGTTCAGGATGAATACATGCATCATTCGTGGCATATTTTAGAAACATCTGCTAACGCTACAACTTTTTAAACGTTTTGTGAGGTATGAAACGCCTTGGACCTCTTTTATGGCAGTTTATATCAGCAGATTCCTATCGCTCATCAGTTATCTCCACTTCCCAAGAATTATTTCTATTTTCCATGTGTTCTTCAATATCGTCATGGTCAAGAATAAGCTATGAGGGAGTGAAAAAAAAATGAATAGGACGAATAAATAAATTAAGAAAATGAAAAACCCTTCGAATATATGTTAGTAACAATGATCACTAGCACTTTATGTGACATTTGAATCGAGAACGCTCCTTTGAATGATGATCCTTGCAAACTACTTGCATTTACTACCTCTAAGTGATGGTTCCTGAGCCTTTTTGTCCCAAAACTTTTGAGGCCGACAATTTGTGACTGTTACGAAAGCATCTGAATTTATTTTGACCCTCACTTAAAATAAGTCGCTGTTTTGCTGTTAGATATATTGGTCAGGAAGATTTTCCACGAAAATGAGACTGGAGTTCAATTTGAGGATGATAAAGGAGAAAACTACGTCAGCCTTCCTGTTACAGGCTTCGATAAAGGTTGGAGAGCTGTATTTTTCCCTTTTTTAGATAATGAATAAAGATAAAGAATAAATGGCGCCGGTTCGTCTGAACAGGTTTTTGAGCAACTTCAACGTTGTGGTTGTTAAAAATTCCCTTGATGGATTCCGTAACACCTGAATGTAAGGAATAACAGCAAAACCAGTCGCTGGTTCCCTTTCATCAGGAGTGCTACTAGTTGTAAATGGTTTATTGAAGTTACAGAGAAAGTTTTTTGGATAGCCATTTGCCTGTAGGACATTAAAAACATATTTCCTCTCCTCAGTCTTCGAATCGAGTGACGATGGTAGACAGCCAGCCCTCCTGAGTAAAGTTTTGGCTACAGAATTTTTATGGCAAATAAGGTAGTGAGAAAAAAGCTTGTAAGATTAGTGACTGTACGTAAAAAATGTTATACAGCAACGAAGGCTTATGTCCACGTTTTTATGGCTTACTTAAAATTCATAAACCGGGAATTCCTTTGAGACCCATTGTCTCTTTTGTTAGTTCTCCGACTTATGCAATTTCTGGTTATCTTGCAAGAATTTTGTTGCCTGTTGTTGGGAATACTGATTACACTGTCAAAAATGTTTGCGAATTTGCGGATTTCATAAGAGATAATACTCTTAACGCTTGAGAAGAATTAGTATCTTTCGACGTTGTTTCTCTCTTCACTAAAATCCCAGTTGATCTTGCCGTTAAAGGTTGCGGAGGAGACTTAGAGAAGATGCTTCCTTGGGACAAAGAACTTCTTTGCCTGTAGGGGATATTATTCATCTACTTTCTTTTTGCCTCAAAACCCGCAATTTGCGTACAAGGGCATCTACTATCATCCATCCATCAATTCACCCTTGAGCGTGAAAAGGATAGACATTTGCCCTCTCTTGTTTTTAAATGTGTCGGAGGGTTCAGGGGTACTTTAGAGACAAATGTCTACCGTAAACCTACCCACACCGACTGACAAATACCTCGCTTTCGATTCTCACCACCCTATTTGCCATAAAGTAGTCTTCGGTTACATTCATTAAATCTGTAAACCAGAGTAGCATCAAACCATATCTTATTGTCCTTTTTTCTCAATATTCTCGTAGTATTACAATTGTTTCCATTCTTACATCTTAGGATCAGTTGTAATTTGTGTCATTTACAAAGATCTCCATAAAGTATTCTTAACAGGCCAGACCGACTCTGTTCCTGTCGATAAAATCAGGTTTGCTAAAACTTAGTATTGCATATAATATCTTTCATCTCAAATAAATCTCTTTTGGTATGCTGATAACCTACATGCGGCATAAGAGAATTTTTCTGGACTTCAATTTGAATTTCTCGTTTGTTTCTGTTTCTTTTGTCTTCATTTTGTTTTTCTACCTTTTTATTAATTTATCTTTTTGTCTTTTGATTGTTTTTCTTTTTTTTCTGTTGTTGTTGCTGTTTTTTTTAACTATTGCTTTGTTTGTTTATCTATTGGGTATTAAATAGTTATATCTTGTCTGCAACGATATGGCCGAGGAACAACACTTTCAGAAAGGATGTTACGTTAAGATTTAGAAACCTTGCGGTAAGTTAAAATTAATCAAGAAGAGCTGCATCTGAATTCGTAACTCTGAAATAGAGTTTGAACAGGGCTAGTATTTCTGGAAAATTTAGATAAAAATTTTTCAATTTAACCTTCCCTTATGTATCCCTCTGTTCCATTTTGGTCTTGCTATATTTTTTTTATATTTTTTTTGTTTGTTTTTGTTTTGTTGTTGTTGTTGTTTGTCGTTGCATATACCACTGATTTGGTTTTTTTTCTCTTCTTTTTGCGTGTATGTTTTTGTGACTTTTGTGGTTGCGTTTTCTTTTTTCTTTGGTTTTGATCTGATTTGTTTTTCCTTACTATTTCTATTTATTTTTATTATTATCATTAATATTATCATCATCTTATTACGTCCAGGTCTTATTTCTCTTTAGGAAGTTTCTTTAAAGAGAGGAAACAGACTAGAAATCTTGCGAATAATTCTTTACATCTCTCTAAAGTGATGGGGTGGGGTATGAAAAATTCCGGCGAGAGCACTACCCCCTCCACATTAGCCAGCGAGTCGCTGTACTACGTAACAATAACGGTACTTTACGGTTTCAGGATGCACCGAACAGAAGCTGCGTGTTTTGGAATACTTTAAAAAACAGGTAAACCGATTTGAATGAGTTGATGACATCGTTCACTTCAAATTATCAATTTGCTTAAGGACTTTGCTTTTGTGCACTGGTACATCACGTTGTGTGGTCACCTCTTACTCCTTCTTTTTCTCCTTCTCAGGCTTCCGCGTCCTCAGCGGTCTGTAAGGCTGGCAGTTGTTTTGTTTGTTTTGTTCATTTAGAATCTAAAGACTGCTTTTCTAACTGTTTTCTGCTGTCATTCTAGTTGGTCGGGACAAGGTGCCTCCTAACATCGAGGAACGAATCTTACACTGAGTGCAGCTGCAATCATTTGACTCACTTTGCAGTTCTTATGCAGTTTGACAGGGAACTAGCAGTAAAGTTTTACCTGAGGTAGGAATATTGCTATGCATACATGCATTGATTTCAGAAGGCAACAAGACTACAAAGCATTGATGTGGCACTTTTCTTACATCTGCATTAATCCAGGTATATGGTGTGTAGCCCTCTTCCGTTACCAATATTGAATCACTGTTTTTGATTTCATTTTTAAGACTGACGAAAAAGCGCTGAAAATTCTCACGTATGTGGGCTCGTCTTTTTCTCTGGTTGGAATCACTTTAACAATCATCAGTTATGCTGTTCTTACGTAAGTACATGACATAGTTACACGCAAGCATTCCAAAGCAAGCCGAGAATATAGAATCAACAAGAAATGATATCAGTTTAAATGCATAGCTAAGATTCCTTTAAGCAGCCAAGTCGAATCATAAAAATATAACCAGGCTTTGTATAAAATGAGGATAGAACTGACTTAGAATAAAATCAGTCATTTACTTTTGATTAGAGACATGAAGGTTCTTTATCTCTGATTCGAATGAGTTTGATCGCTTCACTTGGAGCAGGTCAAATTATCTTCCTAACGGAAGTGGTGCTGTTGAGAACAAAGTGAGATGTTATATCAAACGAGAAGAGAGGAATCTCTTTCAGTAAATCTTTATGACTTTCAATCAACTCTTAACTCAACTTTTAATTCCTGTGCAGTCTGCCTGTGTTACAGTAGCAGCTTTTGTGCAATATTTCTAATGGCCGCTTTCTGCTGGATGTTGATCGAGGGAGTTTATCTCTACCTGTTTGTTGTAAAAGTTTACAATATCAGCGACAAGATGAAGGTTTCTCATGGATTTTCATGGGGTAACTATGAAATAAAAAACCCATTCTCTCTTTAATGATCTTTTGAAAAGTAAAAGATGAACATTGCCATCAGCTAGACATCACTATCAACATTTGACTATGTTATCACTTCGAATTTCGAATCTACAGGTCTACCCGCTCTCGTCGTTTCCACATCGCTGAGCATTGCAGCAGGAACCGGGCCAGGGATTAAAAGCTATGTCAGTGAGAAATTGTAAGAAATAAATGGTTTTTTTTGTGAAGCGATTTCTCTATCACGAATCCTCGTTGTCTCTCTTTCTCTCTTTTTTTTTGTCCTTGTGTTGTTTGCTTGTTTGCATTGTTTTGTTTTTTGTCTTGTTTAATTGTTTGGTTTGTTGTTGTTGTTGTTGTTGTTTTGTTATTTATTTGTTGTTTTTTTAGTTGTTATCAAACCCGGCCTGGAGGGTCCTGCCTACATGCATGCGCAAAAAAAAAATTAATTGATCCTTTATCAAAGTTTCGCGTAATTAATTTTTATTCAGCTGCTGGATGTCATCCACTAACGGCATGATCTGGATATTTGTTGTATTCGTTGTGCTAATTGAGTTGGTATGTTGAATTCTTAAAGTTTTTCTTTTTATCCTTCACACTTTGCCTTCAGTTATCATTGTTTTGTGAGCATTTTTCTCGCCGCCTTTTTTAACCTCTTTGACTCTGTTCAATAGTTTTCAACGAAACATGAAGTATATATAATTTTTCTTGAGGTGACCCTTATGTTGGGAGATGCCGTCAGCGGTTACCGTGCAAGATTTTTAGGTTGAATATCCTGATTCGAGTCTCTACCGGGTTGTTGTGTTGTGTTGTTGGGCAAAACATTTTGCGTTCGCAATGCTTTTCGCCCTCTCCTCCCAGCTGTATAAATGTTTTCTGACGAATGGTGAAAGAAACCTAAGAAATGTCTTGCGGAATGGTGGGGAGAGGGAAAGGTTAGGGGGAAACTTTTGACCACCATCCACTAAGACCGCTAGGACCACTTAGCTCAAGTGCGAACTCCTGTTTTCCTTTGAATAGTTATCCATGGTGTTATCACTTTTTTTTCAGTTAAACACATTGATACTGGTGCGAGTTATCAAGGAGATGATGATCATGCAGCATGCAAAAGACAAAAACAGAGAACAAATAAGGTAAGTATTTCAGCGGCGCCAGTGGTAGATTTTTATAAGCCATTAGCCTCATACTTTGTTGTCTTATACGAATAATGCCAACTCACAACAATGGTAAGAACAAGTCTGTAAGAATGAAACATCTTAGGAAATGAAAACTTTCAACCCTTCTTCAAATTTTACATGCAGTTAGGCCCTCAGGGGGGATGCACAAAAATGCCCTTTTTGAAGGTCGCAGCACTCTTTTTGCCATAGTAACAACGGCTGCTTGGTCGAGGCCTGGGGCCTCATTTTCATACAAAATTGTCGCAAAAAAAGAGTGAAATGTTTATTTCTCTATCTCAAGCTAAGAACAACATTACAAGTTGGCACTTCTATTATTCAAAGTGACACGTGGGTAAAGCAGGGAAAACGTTTATATAAATTTCTCGAAAAGTACACTGATTATGGAACTGAAACTAGCCAACTAGCTGGTTATAATATTGTAGTTTTAAATATGGAAAAATATTTCTGGGGGCCTGCCTCTACTTTCCATAGGGGCAATCAAAAATCAGATATTGCATAATTTGGCGAGGATGTTACTATGTATGGTAGAAGTGCCAACTTATAATGTTTTATTTAGCTTGAGATAGAAAAATAATCATTTTTTGCGACGTTTTTGTATGACAATGAGGCTTCAAGCCTCGAACAAGCAGTCGTTGTTGCCATGGTAACAAGAGTGCTGCGACCTTCAAAGAGAGCATTTTTGTGCATCTCCTCTGAGCATCTAAGCACATGGAAAATTTGAAGGGGGTTGAAAATTTTCATTTCCCAAGATGTTTGATTCTTTCAGAGACTTGTTCGTAAAAGCAAATTCTCTTGATTTTCTTTTTTCGTGATTTTATAGGCTTGGTGTCGGGGCATGCGTGGTGATGATTCCTTTGCTTGGGATCACGTGGCTATTTGGTCTTCTGTCGCCCCTGCATAAAGTGTTTGCATACATTTTCACAATTTTCAATTCCACTCAGGTAAACTGAATACAGCTTTTAATGAATGAAATCCGTGCTCATACGGTACCAAAGTAAAAGGGCGGTTGGTGGATTTAACTCTGATTGAGATATTTCTGTTTCAAGTATGCATCTTGACAAAGATTAAAGTCAGTGCTCAGAGTGCACCTCATCTCAGGGCACAGGTTCACCTAACCCATGTCTATTAAGAACTCGTCTCTCCTGACACAAAAATAACTCTCAGATTATTTCATTAATTCATACTTGAAAAAACACACGTTACGCGGCTGATTAACTTTTAACAGTAACAGCATTCTTAAGAAAACAGCGTTTAACCCTTTAACTTCCAAGGTATTATTAGTAATTCTCCTCACTGTCTGCTGTACAATTTTTCTGATTTTACTTCTGAGAATTTGGTATTGGATCAGCTAATAATCCCCTAATTGATACTTTTCTTGGTTCTCATCAGTTGTCTTCTTGATTTTGTATTGATATTTTAAGGATAATTTCTCTTTTGGTCACTCATGGGAATTGTAGGATTGAAAAAGAAAAAAAAGGGAAAAACAGATCATGATTCTAAGATTTGTCTTTTAAAAAACGACCCTCTTTACAATTATATGAAAAAGTGAAACTCAGTTTTCCAGAGTAAAAACCAAACCTCAATAAAACAAAACATATATCAATTTTGTATCAGTAATCACAATTTTGCTTATTGAAACTAAGTCGATCTAGGACATGACAAGAGAACACTAACGGCCTCACAATCGAATACCTGAGATGATAAAAGTTTTCTTGATCTAATTATATTCCTCTCAATATTCCTAAAGCGCGTGAAAAGTGCCCCGTGAAGGCATGAAGTTGTACTACCCCTTCCTTACAAAGTTACCAGGTGGTGAACTTAGTGTAATACAGAGACAAAGTAGAGAACTTATGCTTAATAGCAGTAAAGGTTTGGACATTTTTGCTACCCAGCAAAATTTAATCTTGAAAGGGTTGAAGTTGGAGGGCTTGGATGAAAGCGCTTTGAATCTACTAAAGGCGTTAACGTGATTTCCTGCATTGTGATTTAACAGGGCTTCATGATATTTCTCCTTCACTGCGTGAGAAACTCAGAGGTATGCTATTAAATTTTATTAAGAAGTTTCTTTGTAATTTAGAACTTTGCTCAGATTTTTAACCCGAAAGCTTCCACTTTGAAATAAGAAATTCAATTCAGTTCGATGGTTGTATTTATTCGAAGCACGTTTTGTTGTACAATTCTTGAGATCGTTTTGATATCAACTTATTCATACAGATTAGATCTCGCTTCAAGAGAAGGATCATTCGTGTCACCCCAACTGCAGTTGAAGTAACAAGCATAGAGCGAGCTTCTCAAGTACATGAAACCTCCATGGTGATATTGCCAAGGAAAATTAATGTCCAGCCTCGCAATCACCATGAAAGTGGCACTGAAATCTTTGAGATCTGAGTCGTCATCGAATTGTTGCTTCTTAGCTTAGAACTATGTATATCCTAAATTAAGTTCGTTAAAAAAAAAAAAAATTAGAACACGCACAAATAACCCTCGTAATGCTCATATAGCTTTGTATCGATCCGAAGATTAATAAAAGAACATCTCAATTAATCTAAAAGTCTCCTCCTTGTCGAAGAAACGAGCGCTGGATACATTTGTGTTAAGAAGGTGTACATCTTACCTAAAGGAGAAAATATTAAGCAGATCAATGGTAATCAAAATATCGTTACTCTCAATAGAGGCAAGAATTGAAAAAAAAAAACACAACAAACAAACCAAAAAAAATATTCATAGTTTTTTCTTTCGGTAGTCGTTTTTACTTGCGTAATTGTTTCAGAATTTTTCTCCAGGGAGTGTTGGTTGAGAAATATCTCCTCGTTAACTCTAGGAGTGACCATTCGGATAAGCTGTTTCTCCTAAAACACTCACTATAGCTTGAGATTTGAGCGTCAGACTATGAATTTTTGACAATGGAACTTAATCCATTCAAAAAGCTTTTTCGATTGCTCATGTGTCGAAAAAAAAAAGACTTTATTCATTTCCTCATTTAAAAGTACACAATTGATAACATTTTGATGAGGAGCATGGTTGACAATGTCTCGATCGAATCTTTTCGCGGAATAACAGAAAGAAATCTCAAATAATCTCCATGTAAGCCTTTTATTGTTAACAAATAAGGAATCAACCCTCTTCACGTTTCATGATATCATTCTCATAAAATATATTAAAGTTCACATGGCAACCAGGTGGACAATCAGACATGGTTTGATGCTGCTCTGGTTTACAGATTTAATGAATGTAACCGAAGAAGTTACAATTCATAGACCCAACGTTTCGATACTCCCGTCTAGTGCCTTAATTGAAGGCCTAAATGTAATAACTGTGCTAAATGTAATAAAGTCCTGAATATTATAACAGTTGGTCTTCAATGTAATAAGCCTCCAATGCAATCATTTAACATTTGTTGTTATAGCAAACATCCACATCCACCAATATTCATGTCACATTGCAGACTCGCTGATATTAATCAGCCTTTTTCTTTATTTTCTAGAATGAAGTCGATAAATATTAGCTGTAAACCATTACACTTATGAACAATTGGCATCAAATGACAGCTGGCAAACCAATGAGAACGCTGACCAATACATCTCCATGTATCACTGGCTCAGACTCTAAAGTACAATAGATTTTGAAAAAATATGATAACGTTATTATTGTCTACTCAGTAATGGAATTAACAAGTCGTAAACCAAATTACAGACCTAGACGAGGGAGTCCATTGAGTTGTAGGTCGCACAATTGGCAGGCTCGGATATACATTTTTTTCTTTCTTTGTCTGAATAGACTTTGTTCACATTCACATTTGTTTCCCAATTCGGACTTCGTGACAGTACTTTAGAAAGGGATTACTTTCAAACCCTCGAATATCTTCATGAGTATATGAATATGAACAATATACTTTTCTCCCCAAGAGAACGCGATTTGGACAATTATGTCCCGCGCAAGAAAAAAAGTTCGTGAAGCGGACTTACAAAGTTTGTAACTATTGGACAGTGTTAGCAACGAAGTCGCAAGAAGCGGCAGAAGCAGTCAAAACAAAGAAAAAATCAAACGACCCTCTTGGGTTTATCGTGTCGCACACACGGTGGCTTTCTTTCTCGGCTCTCAAAATAAACAAGTCGTTCTTGATTTTTATTAAAGCAAAATATTTTTTCAATATCGTAAGTCCTTTATTGACCAAGTCAAGAGATTGTAAACTCTCTTGACCAAGCCTATTCGAGTCGAGGTGGCTGAATATTAGCCTCGTTCTTTTCTGCGTTTTAAATGCAAAAATAGAACCCGGCCAATATCCAGCCATCCTGACTTTACGCTCGGTCAATAACTCATATGAACATATTTCATGCAGACCCATATAAATCTGGCAAGGGAACACAGAAAAAAAAAATGCACTTCCGAGCCCGGAATTTGTCTAACGTTTAGGTCAGTGGACTTCCTCTTCTTTATAGCTTGATTCATGAAGTGTTAACTCAGCACTGATCACGGAAGTATTTGTTCAAAATCTGTTGCACTAATTAGTCTGAGCCAATGATATAAATAAAGGTATTGGTCAGCATTTCCGTTGTTTTGACGTCTGTCCATTGATACCAAAAGCACCTCAGTATGAGAGTTTGTGGCCAATACTTCTCGACTTACGTCTATAGCAAATGAAAAGACAAAAAAAATGAAACGAAACGAAACGAAACAACAACAACAACAATATATATATATATGTTTTTTATTTTTTTTTTTTTAATTAAAATGATAATGATAATAGTAGTGCATGTAATAGACGAATATGCGCCGTAATCATAGTTCGGAGACATCTGCTTTAATAATTACACGCAAGGATGACAGAAGCACTTCTTCGTATGATTGAAGTGGGTAGTATTTCAAATTTTTTGTACAGAAGGACTTATTTAACCATTATTTTGTGTAAAGTTGATAAGCGCCGCACGTCAAGTGAAGATTATGAAGTTTTCTTTGGGAACACGAGGCCAAGGCGCCTTATTGCAATGCTAAAATATGCGAGAATTTTCCATTAGTAGGTTTATGATTGAAGGCCTCGCAGACGTTTGATGATTATCACATCCTCAAGTCCGTCTTAATTTTTCGTTTTCTCGTTTTCCTGTCTCCTTGACCTAATAATTCTCGTTTTGCCGGCATTAAAATGTGATGTTATATTTCCCTTTGATACCAATAGAGTAATGTTTAAAATCCTTGTTTTACATCCTTCAATTGCTATCCGCTGTCAGCTTAGCTAAGTTTTAGTCTCTCTAGAAAGTCTATATTCGTAAAACACCACTTAGATAGCAGAGGAGGTATAATTCTTAAAGGTGTATTTGTTTCAGTTTTTTCGTCTTTCATTTAGGGATACCAAAAAAAGGAAAATATTGTAATTAGATGGAGGCTTAACACGAAAATTTCCCCTGGTAGACATAATGAATCATTAAGTTGAAAATTTCCTCTTTAAACAAATAAAACTTTCTCAACCTCGTTTCAGTTCGTCATGCAAACTAGGAAATTCGGCCCAGTTTCCAATGAAGACACCTAATGAGTTGAACACCCTTTGTTTTGTTTTAATGATCATTCATTACACGTCTCTCAGTTGCGATGTCAATAATACAAAAACCTTAGTGTGTGCCCAACCTATGGGTGAATTACAATTTTAAAAAATACCGGGAAAAAAAACAGTGCGGCGACTCTTTCTCTTGTCATCCGCTATTTCAAATTAAGACAATAGCTGTTGCCACCTGCCACTTCTTAGTGGTTTCAGTGACACTTTGGTATACGAGATATAATTCTAGTCATGTCTTGGTATTAATATTGTCTAAATTTATAAAGAAAATAAGGACCCAGCTGGTCGATTCAGTGCCAACAAACCCAAGGAATAATGTGTTTAGAAACTCACGCCTAGTTTGGTCTCTGCTTTCTTCCTTGTTCGCTCAAGATCTAATGTATATCTGTGTCTAACGTCTGCCCAACGTCACTGGACACAGACCAATACCTTCATCATTGTTTCACGAGACGGTGATCCTAAAAATGCCGAATTCATATCCTAAACTTCGAAAGAAAACTGTAGCTAAATTGTTCTGGAGAATGGTTTTTCTCGCAATAGCGGTTGGTGAGTATTAAAAAGTAATATAGTAACCTTTAAATATGTATACGATGTGTTAAGAAGGCTTTTGGTTGCATGTTGTACAATCAATTGCGCCTTTTTCCTCGACGGAGCTCTTTAAAGCTCTCTTAAGAGCTTTTTAAAGAGAAAGTGCGGTCTAGAAAATTTTATTTTTGTTGAAAGAACTTTTCCTCAGGAATTCGAATTCGTTTTGTCCAGTTCGGAACGGAACTCAGACAAATGCAGTTAAAACAAACAAATTATACTTCGCCAAGCACTGAGGCGTCATTTATATTAAGATCGATATCATAAGCCAACAATGTTCGACAACGGGAGACTTCCTGACGCTCTTCATGTAACATGAGGCTTTGTTTATATATATGAAACAAACCTAGAACGGCAGATATCCTATATTTATTTTCCCAAAGTAGCTTTTATGGTAATTTTCTTAAAGGTCTATTTGCAGTTAAATATTACGGTGAATTTGGCCCTTCAAAAGATTACAACAACACTTTTAATAAAATAGCTGACAATAAACTGCCGTTGTCTTTCTTTTTCGGTTTGTATCAGGTTAACTTGCAAACAACTTAAGCGTTTTGTATGCATGAGTTTTGTGAGAAAAAAAAAAAGTTTATTCTGTCGTTGCTTACTCATTTGACGGATAATCTTCAAGTCTCTCATTTCTCACTTGGTGAAAGCCAACAAGGGCTGTTTTGAAAACATTGGCCAGTAAACACACGGGTCCAAATGATCCGTGCTCAGTAATACAAGGAAACCTGGTTCCTACAGTTTCAATAATAATTTACATCACAGAATTAGCGATGTGAAATAAATCCGTCGCCGGCGCTGCGCCGTTTTTTAGTAAAAACTAAAAAAAATGTCACTTTAGAAACAAGTATTTTATTTGAGAGGAATTAGTTATCTTCGATTCCAGATCGAGTTGATCATCAAGAGCAAGAGCACCATTCGCAATTTCCAAGACGTGAGCTCGTAGATGTTTCTCCTTTTATTTTTTACTGAGTTGCTTCGTCAATGGCGATCTCTTCTTCTTCTGAACACGAGCTATGTTAGGGCTAAAACATGATTGGACGTATTACAACGTCTGGAATAAGATCCATGTCGAGAATTGAGTCATTATCGCTCTCCTCGCTGCTGTTTTCTTAGTTTTTTATCCTTCTTAGTCGAGATTACAAACCTTGACCATTGCTACGTCATAACTACATCATAACAAATATGGCGGATTTAAACTTTAAAATCTCTAATTTTTTTAAATGTGATTTCAAGCAAGAAAAACACGACCAGAATCAGTTTGGAACTATTTTGGTTGAAATATTCGTGTGTATAGTTCCGTCAAGCACCGATTATCTGTTCTATGCTTTGACAACATACGTATAGACGTGGACGATGGCTTCATGCGCTTCATGTCTTCTGAAATAAAGATTTGTTTTTTCTAGGCAGTCATTTTAGTGGTTTCTCGCAATTTCCTTAAGGAATTTTTTTGTATCTGGAACTGTCGATGGCATCCCGCGTTCCTTCACATAAAAGGCTTAAAGCTACTGTGCGAACGAAAAGGACTTTCGCTCTGAAAGCCACCTTCAACCTGTGAGATGACAGGAAGTTTCGGCCAAAAGGTTCAACTAAAAGCCAATTTGCAGAGATTTTGCTGCATCAGAGCGTCGACAAACTTCGCGCGAGGTGCAGATCACAAGAAGCAAATGACGAGTTAAAAAGTATTGATGGGCCTGCAGGACTCCTGCCATCCGCATGCGGTTTTAAATTTTTGAGATTAGCTCTGACTAAGATATGTTTTAACGACTTTCCTTTGCGATGTGATTCAGTGCGTTGGTTTTGAATAAGATGCCATTTTCCCATCAGTATGTTCTTGTAGGAAGATATTTCGTCATAAATAGCAAAATTTTTTTCTGTGTGCTATTGTCTTTGTTTTTTGATGGCACTCTCTCTAGCAGACGTGACACATATCTCTTCACATCTTCGTCAAGTATCCATTCCCTTCTTTAAGCACATTTTGAAACTCTGTACGTTATTGCTTCATGTGGAGGGTGTCGGATTTGTTCTTAGGATGCGCGACGCTTCTCCTTCAACGAATCCTTCCTTTAAGCACGACCCTTGCAAGGCTTTGAGTGTAATACGAACGATTTTACCCGCAGTTGCTCCTATATGGTTGACTAGGAAGTCCCACGTTTCCATTAGATATCTTATTATATGAGTATTTATCTTGCGATTGATTCCCCTAATTCCCCCCCCCGCCCCTTCCCCACCCCTCTTGTTGCAGTATGGCTGTGAATTAGGGAATTATATCTTTTGGTTTTATCTCCATTACAGCTGGTACGGCCATGCCAACTTCAGCACAAGGTATGTATTGTCTTGGCGAAAAAATAAAAAGGGAAATAGAAAATTATAAAGATTCAACACTGTTCAACTAGTTAACCTCTGCCGACATGGGTTGAACAATAAATTATCTGTTGCTAAATAAATCTTAACAAACGACCTATTCCAAAAGATCACTGATATGTTATTGCTCGTAATTGTCCAAAAGAGGGGGAAAAGCAAACGAAGGGAGGTTTTGGCTTAGAAACCTTAGAAAGTAACATACTAAGTAGCGGGACCCATCCTTAACAATTAAGAAAAATATTCAGAAAAAGATACTAAGGCTTCTGAACATCCTAATATATATATAAATACTTTTTATTTTTATTTTTATTATATTATACAAACTCTCGATACCAACCACTCACTACTCAGTTCAGAGTGGAAAGTGAGAAGTGATAAGTGGAAACTAATACAAAACAAACAAACACCCACACCCACACAAACGCAAACCGAAACTGCAATGCGTTCCTTAACGGGTGGGGAAAGTAGCTGGGGTTGAATACGAGCAGTGAAACGATTTTCGAGCAGTGGAAGATGAAAAACAAGCAAAAAAAAGGTCAAGCAAATAATATACTTACAGAAAAAAAAAATAAATTGAGAAAAAAGACAAACAGTATGTTTAGGAAGGAGATTTAAATGATTTAAAATGTCTCTAATTGATGTTTACGTTTATAACGCAGATGGGCGCTGCTCCCGCCCCAATGATACAATCGGACCCTCAGAGCTGAACCGTTCGAACTATCAGCAACAGGTTGACAAAATGCGTCAGTACTGGCATAGGATGAAATGTGGCAATGAGACACCTACATCTATTGACAGAGACTGTTGTATCTCTTGGTGTGAGCAGTTGACTTCTTTTTTCAGTCAGGCGTCTTCTTGGAAAGATCACTGTTTTAAAATGTGGGGATGCAGAATAAATGAAAAAACTCCCAGCCAGTTTTCTGTGATATTGACAAATACAACCGACTCGTCGTATTTGGGCAGAATCAAAGTGAAACAGTGCTGGAAACTGAATTTTCCTGCCATCAAGCTAACACCATCAAGCGAGGTAGGTGTATTTGATTTTCTTGTAACATTTTTAATGCCTATTGTTGTTGGTCCTCTAATTCCACCCTTTAGAGAATGTCAAACCTATCCCCCTCCTGACCCCGGACCGCGTAGCTATCGATATAAGTTCGACTTTCACGCAAAGCTCGAAATGTAATCGCGAGCACTTTCTTTCTTAAGTTATCAGTATTTCCTGTGTTATTTATATTCTTGTACTCAGTGGTTCCGTATTATCTTCGTAACACTTTACTAAGAAACCACTAGCAATAGCTTGTAAATAGAAGAGTTCGATCGAGTCATCATAAAATTAAACTCCTCTTAAGTTTACTGCTGGTGCCTTGGTTAATGAAAGCTCAATTTTCCTCAGATTGTGTAACCCATGAATTTATTGATTCCTTTAAGAGCTAGGCTACTAAAAGTTTTGTCTAAACGAACCACTAACTCAGTCCCCAGGAAGGAAACTTGTTGACACCATTCTAAAAGAAGTGATGAGCTCTTCTGGAAATAAAGTAACTCAAGAAAAAATGGAACGCATTTTTCTCACTGTCACTGATTTGGAGGAGTTCATTGGGAATTATGCTCAAAATCGCCTTAATCAAACCGTACCTAAGATTGACATCCGTGGTAAACATGCAGGTGAGTAGATCTTAAAAGCTGATTTGGAAGTTTTCTTGATTTCTAATTCGGAGTTCAGGATGAATACATGCATCATTCGTGGCAGATTTTCGAAACATTTGCAAACACTACTACTTATTCGACGTTTTGGGTGTAAACTTTGTCTGTAGCAACCCTTTACCGAATCATTTCGCGACACATGAACTGTCTTGGACCTCTTTTAAGGCAGTTTATAACAGGAAATTCCTATCGCTCGTCAGTTATCTGCGATTCCAACAACTCTTTCTCTTTTGCATATGTTCTTTAATATCGTCATAGTTATGAATAACTCATAAAAGAGGGGGAAAATGGATAAAATGAATAAATAAATCATGGAAATAAAAATAAGAAACCATTTGAATTCACTGCAGTGATATGTTATTTAAATTTAAAAATGGTGACCAGCACTTTATCTGACAATTAAACAGAGAACACTCCTTTGACTGATGATCCTTGAAAACTACTTGCAGTTAATACTTCTAAGTGATGGTTTCCAGCATTTTAGTCTTAAAGCTTTTGAGGACGATGACTTGAGACTGTTACGAAAGCATCTGCATTTATTTCTGCCCTAACTTAATATAAATCGCGGTTTTGAATTTAGATATTTTGGTCAGGAAGATTTTCCACAAATATGAGACTGGAGTACAATTTGAGGATGATAAAGGAGAAAACTATATCAGCCTTCCAGTTGCAGGCTTGGATAAAGGTTGGAGAGCTATATCTTTTGGTTATTTTTTTTTTTTAACATAGAAAATAATGTATTTTTGTCGTATTATTCAAATTATTCTAGCGATTATCACTGTTATTGGTTAAAGGGGAACTGGGTTTCAAGTTAACGAATGGCTGATATCTTAATCCAGTTGCTTTCGTTTTCTTTTACCTGTTTATGTGTCCTTTGGTCGAAATATTTCAATCTTAATACAAAGTTGGGCATGCCAATGAAACACACCGGTAAACTTGCAGGGTCTTTAAACCGTGATAACTTGTCCTTTTTTCGCAATATTCTCGTAGCATTAAAATTGTTCTCATTATTACATCTTAGGATCAGTTGTACTTTGTGTCATTTACAAAGATCTCCATGAGGTATTCCAAATAGGCCAGACTGACTCTGCTCCTGTAAATAAAATCAGGTTTGCTAAAACTTAGTATTACATTTAGTATCTTTCATCTCAAATAAATCTGCTTTGGTGTGCTAATAACCTACATTATAGGCCATGTTCATAAGTTTCCTCGACCTCGACTTGGGTTTCTCGTTTATTTTAGTTTCTTTCGTCTTGATTCTGTTTTCCTGCCTTTTTATTAAATTTTCTTTGTTTATTTTGTCGGTCTGTTTGTTGGTTAAATTATTTTTCTTTCTTTTTTTTTTTTTTTTTTTTTTTTTCCTCGTTTGTCTATCAACAGTAATATCCTGTCTGCAACGATATGGCCGAAGAACCATATTCTCAGGAAGAATGTTACGTTGAGATTTCAAAACCAGGCGGTAAGTTACAATTTATCAAGAAAGAGCTGCATCTGAATTCGTAACTTTATCTTTTGTTTTGATTTGATCTAATTTGTTTCTTCTTCTTCTTCTTCTTCTTCTTCTTCTTCTTCTTCTTCTTCTTATTATTATTATTATTATTATTATAAATATTATCATCATTACTATTATCATTTCTATTGCTATTATTATTAATAACATCATCATCGTATCAAGTCAAGGTCCTTTGTAAACAATATTTACATGTGTCTTAAGTGGTAAGGAGGGCTCTGAAAAATTCCGGCGAGAGCACCCTCACCTCCACATCAGCCATCGAGTCGCTGTACTAGGTAATAATAACGGTACCTTACGGTTTTAGGATGCACCGAACAGAATCTGCGTGTTTTGGAATACTTCAAAAAACAGGTAAACAGCTTTGAATAAAATTAAGAGATCATAGCAGCTACGAACACTACTGTGCTAGTAGTTGAAAATAGGACCTGAAAAAAATTCAGGCCCCTATGGGATTTGAACCCATGACCTCTGCGATACCGGTGCAGCGCTCTACCAACTGAGCTAACTAGCCAACTGAGAGCTGGCCTATGTGTTGGGTCCAAATAAACCATCCAAATGATGAATGATGATTTTAGATATATGAAATTCATATATTTGCACTGCGATCAAGAACGGAAATTAAGAGATCAACGCAGCTAAGAACACTACTGAACTGTTAGTTGAAAATTGTTGGTAGAGCGCTGCACCAGTGTCGCAGAGGTAATGGGTTCAAATCCCTTGCGGGCCTAACTTTTTTTTCAGGTCCTATTTTCTGGTACATCACATTGTGTGGTCACCTCTTACTCAGTTGTTGGCAGTTGTTTTGTATTTTTTTTGGTTCATTTGGAATCTAAAGATCAGAGAAAATTTTAGATCATCAGACAACTTTCATTATCTCAACTTTCTGTGCCATTACACACGATATGTTACGTAGATTCCTTCCTTTTTCTTGCGAACAGTATCTTATTTATCTCAAGATCATCCATCTATCGAGACATTTGGTATTAATGAACTAATTTCCTAATTTCCTTCTGATTCTGAGAGTTTTCTGCTGTCATTCTAGTTGGTCAGGACAAGGGTGTCTCCTAACATCGAGGAACGAATTTTATACCGAGTGCAGCTGCAATCATTTGACTCACTTTGCAGTTCTTATGCAGTTTGACAGGGGAACCAGCAGTAACTTTTTAAGTAAGGTAGGAATATTGATAAGCATATACATACATTGATTCCAGAAGGAACTTAGACTAGACAGCATTGGGGTTAATGGTGTGTAGCCCTCTTCCGTTATCGGTATTGAATCACTGTTTTTGCATTCATTTTTAAGACTGACGAAACAGCGCTGGAAATTCTTACATATGTGGGCTTGTCTTTTTCTCTGGTTGGAATCACTTTAACAATCATCAGTTATGCTGTTCTTACGTAAGTACATGACATAGTTCCACCCAAGAATTCCAAAGCAAGCTGAGCATGTAGACCAACAAGAGATTATATCAGTTTAAATGTGTAAAGTTTAGATTTATTTAAGCAGCCACGTAGAATTATAAAAATATAATCAGACTTTGTATAAAATGAGAATAGAACTGATGTAAAATAAAATCAGTTGTTTATTTTTGATTAGAGACATGAGGGGACTTTTATCTCAGATTCGAGTGAGTCTAGTCGCTTCACTTGGTGCAGGTCAAATTATCTTCCTAACTGGAAGTGGTGCTGTTGAGAACAAGGTAAGAAGAGAATAATCTCTTTCATTACATCTTTATGACCTTAATCCAAATCTTAACTCAACTTTTTCATTCCTGTGCAGTCTGCCTGTGTTACAGTAGCAGCGTTTGTGCAATATTTCCTAATGGCCGCTTTCTGCTGGATGTTGATCGAGGGAGTTTATCTCTACCTGTTTGTTGTAAAAGTTTACAATATCAACGACAAAATGAAGGTTTCACATGGATTTTCATGGGGTAACTATGAATTAAAAACCCATTCTCTATTTGATAATCTTTTGAAAATTAAGACATTAATTACCATGAACATTACCATCGCCATTATCATGTTAGATATCATCATCATTGGACTCTGTTGTCTCTTCGAATTTCGAATCCACAGGTCTACCCGCCGTCGTTGTTTCCATATCGCTGGGCATTGCAGCAGGAACCGGGCCAGGGATTAAAAGCTATATCAGTGAAAATTTGTAAGAAGTGAATGATTTTTCCTCGTGTGATTTCCCTGTCACGAATCCTCGTTTTATGTTGTACTTTTTTGCTTGTTTCTTTGTTTTTTTTTGGTTTAATTGATTGGTTTGTGGCTGCTGTTGTTGTTGTTTTGTTATTTCTTTGTTGCCTTTTATTACTAGTCATCAAACCCGATATGGAGGGTACTGCGTACATGCATGCGCAAAAAAATTATTAATTAATTGATAATTTATCAAAGTTTTGGATACTTAATTTTTTATTCAGCTGCTGGATGTCATCCTCTAACGGCATGATCTGGATATTTGTTGTATTCGTTCTGCTGATCGAGTTGGTAGGTTACATTCTTAAAATTTTTTCGTTTCCCTCTTTCACACTTCGCCTTCGGTTATCGTTGCATCGTGAGCATTTTTTTCGCTCGCCGCTTTTTTAATCTAGACTCTAATCAATAGTTGCCAACGAAATCTGAAATATGTGTGAAATATAAATTTTGCTTGAAGTGACCTTATTGTAGGAAGATCCCGTCTGCGGTTACCGCGAAAGATTTTCAGGTTGAGTAGTCCTGGCTCGAGTCTCTCCCGGGTTGTTGTTTTGTGTTGTTAGGCGAAACAGTTTGCGTTTACAATGCTTCTCTCCCTCTCCTCCCAGCTTTATGGATATTTACCAACCAATGGTCAAGAAAACCTGGGAAATGTCTGATGGGATGACGAGGAGGGGAAGGGTTCAACTTTTGACGAACATCCCATGAGGCCACTAGGAGAACTTAGCTCAAGTGCAAACTTCTCTTTCCTTTGTATAGTTAGATTGTTTTTTGTTTTGTCTCGTTTTCTTCTGTTCTCAGTTAAACACATTGATACTGGTGCGAGTTATTAAGGAGATGACAAACATGCAGCATGCAAAAGACAAAATCAGTGAACAAATAAGGTAAGTATTTTTGTGGCGTCAATAGAAGATGCATGTAAGCCCTTAGCCTCTTACTTTGCTATCTTATACGTATAATGCCAATTCACAACAAGTTGATTTGCTCTTTTTTTCATGATTTTATAGACTTGGTGTCAGGGCATGCGTGTTGATGATTCCTTTGCTTGGGATCACGTGGCTATTTGGTCTGCTGTCGCCCCTGCACAAAGCGTTTCCCTACATTTTCATAATGTTCAACTCCACTCAGGTAAACTAAATACACCTTTTAGTGAATGAAATCCGTGCTCATACAGTATGAAGGTGAACAGGCGGTTGGTGGATTCACCACTGATTTAAGAATGAATCTTGACAAAGGTAAAAGTCGGTGCTGAAAGTGCACCTCATTTCAGGGTACAAGTTCACTCAGCCCATGTCTACTAAGAATTTGTCTCTCCCGACATAAAAACAACTTTCGAATTATCCCATAAAGACATACTTGGAAAACACACGCTACGTGGCTGATGAACTTTTAACAGTTACAGCATTCTTTAGTAAACAGTGTTGAACCCTTTAACTCCCAAGATATTATTAGTAATTCTCCTTACTGTCTCCTCTACAATTCTTCTGATTTTACTTCCGAGAATTTATTATAAGATCAGCTTTTAATTCCCTTATATATACTTTTCTTGGTTCTCATCACTCGTCTTCTTGATTTTGTATTGATATTGTAAGCATTTCTGTTTGGTCACTCATGGGAATTAAAGGGTTGAAAAAGACACAAAAAAGGGAGTCAGGTCATGATTCTAAGATTTGTTCATAAAAATAAAGACCCTCTTTACAATTACATAAAAAAAGTGAAACTGAGTTTTCCGGAGTAAAAACCAAACCTTAATATAACAAAACATATATCTATTTTGCATCAATGACCACAATTTTGCTTAAGTCGATTTAGGACATGACATTAAAGGCCTCACAATCGAATACCTGAGATGACAAAAGTTTTCTTCATCTAATTGTATTCCTCTCGATATTCAAGCAAGAAGTTATACTAACCCTTCCTTACAAGTTTACCAGGCGGTAAACTTAGTGTAATACAGAGACAAAGTAGAGAACCTGTGATTAAGAGCAGTATAAGTTTGGACATTTTTGCTGCCCAGCAATATTTAATACTAAGCGGTTTAGGGTTAGGGGAGCTTTTATGGAAGCACTTTGAATCTACTAAAGGCGTTAATGTGATTTCTGAAATTGCCATTTAACAGGGCTTCATAATATTCATCCTTCACTGTGTGAGAAATTCAGAGGTATGTTATCAAATGTTATTTTAAGTCTCTTTGTAAACTTTAGATTTTTGCTCAGAGTTTTACCTGGCAAGGCTTCCACTTTGAAATAAGAAATTAAATTCGATGGTTGTATTTATGCGAAGCACATAGAGTTGTATAGTTCTTGAGATCGTTTTGATATCAACTTATTCATGCAGATTAGATCTCGCTTCAAAAGAAGGATCAACGCTGTCAACCCAACTGCAGATGAAGTAACAGGCGTTAAGCGAGCTTCGCAAGTAAATGAAAGTATCAGCGTGGATTGCCAAGAAAAATGAATGTCCAGCCTCGTAATAACCATGAAAGTGGCATTGAAATATATGAAATCTGAGTAGTCCTAGTAGTGTTGTTCCTTAGCTCAGATTTGTGTATATCTTGAATTAATTTCGATAAGAAAATTTTAGAGTAGGTATAGATAACCAGCTTAAGAAGGCTCTGACAGCTTTGTATTGATACGAAAAGTAAGAAAAGAACATCTCAAGTAATCATAATTTAAGGTCTTCTCCGTGTGGAAAGAAAAGGGCATTGGATACACTAATGTTAAGAAGGTCTACATCCAAGACATCAATTTACAGAATAATGAAACATCATAACCCACCATGAGAGGAAAGAAACATAACCCACCACCGAGAAGAAAAGAACATTATGGAGACCAATAATGGTAATCAAGATACCATTACTGTCAATAGAGGTAAGAATTAATCAATAACAAACCAAGAAACAAATAAAAACAAAAACAAATAAATACTATTCATAGTGCTTTCTCTTGGCAGTCTCGTTTTTACTCGTGTTACTGTTTCAGAATTTTTCCCCTGAGAGTGGCGGTTGAGAAATGGAACTTAATCCATTCAAAAAGCTTTCTCCATTTGTCATATGTCAAAAAAAAAAAACTTCATTTACTTCCTCATTCAAAAGCACATAATTAATAACATTTTAATGAGGAGCGTGTAATGTATCGATCGAATCTTTTCGCGGTATAACAGAGAGAAACTTCGAATAATATCGGCGTAAGCCTTTTGTTGTCAATAAATGAGCAATCAACCCTCTTTACGTTTTATATTCTTGTGGTCTTAATTTTACATGTTAAAATACCAACAAAAGCAACAACAGTGCTACCTTGTAGCAATTCTCAGAGGAACAGAAACTGAAGCGTAAAATCGTCATTTTTGCTCAGAGTTTTACCTGGCAAGGCTTCCACTTTGAAATAAGAAATTAAATTCGATGGTTGTATTTATGCGAATAAGATAAATTCTTGGTATTTATTTTCTTTCGCTTCTGGTTATTTGAAGTTGTCCAGAGTTGAAGGGCTTTCAGAAGGAAGAAAACTGGCAAAAAGGTAATGCTATCTCTTCACATGCAGATCCATACTGAAACACAAGATACAGATATTCCTGCAACAAGTTATGGGGAATTGTTTATATTTTATTGGCGAATTTGATTCCCCTGATAACTGACACTAGGGTCGATCGAGTGTTTGCACCATAAATAGCCCGGGATTTTTGGGACAACATCCTCCTCCAACTTGTACTTCCCGGGTGTTCGAAGCATCTCGGACCTAAGATCCCGTTCGTAATAATGTCGTTCGAAATGTTGATAACAAACGCGTGAGTCTTTCGTGACGGTGAAATTTGCCTGAGAAATTTTTTTGCCAGCCATTTTCTTTTGAAGATTTTGGTATGAGGCCGACACTATTGTAGTTAATACCATTTGTGTGTGAAAACATCTGTGGCTTCTGAAACACCTAAGTTAAACGACTTCATCTCTTTAGGTATATATAATGAATGAATGAATCATGCAAGGTCGTAACTGCGAGCTGAGCACGGCTCCAGTTTTTCGGAGAAACTTCTCTTCGTTTTTAGAACATTTATAATAAGATAATTCATTTTACCGACCGAGAGAAAACTGACAGATTTACAAGTCGTTCCAGTCCACCATTGCGATAACCGCACTTCATCAGCAACTCCACCCACTGGTGTCCCTTGGTAAACCATCCAATCAACTGTCACATTAGCTTTTGCGTGTCTTTCGTTGTAACCGGCCGCCATCATACATGCAGTAAATCTATCGTAGTTGACATTTTCAACCCAGGACACAACGGCATCGTATACATAAGATTTGTCACTAGTTTCAGTATGATTAACCGTGACTTGAACTCCGAGGGCCTTATCAGGATAAAACACAAATGGCCTGAGGCAAATGACTTCACAATGGAAATAACCAAGGGAGGGGATTTACGGCATGTGTTGACGACCTCTCTAAAAAGGAAATCCCAGAAAAAATAAATTCAAAAATACTTGGCGTAATCTGAATTCACTTTTGTCTAATTTAAAGCTATTGTCCCAACCATCTCTATCACTCACTGAAATCACAAAATAAGGCCATTGTTTCCAAAACAGAAAGCGTTGTTAACAAGAGGACAATGTCACTTCTGCTGGCGCTAAAACTGCTTCTGCACCACAGACACCAAAATGAGAATCGGACATTATTGCTGACACCAGTCGAAATGACAATCAGCAGCATGATAACCATGAAAACCAGCAACAAGATTTGCTTTGAACACCGATGGTGCCATTAGCACTGACACTGACGATAACAGTGACACTTTCGCTCTTATTTTCTCTGCAGGTGTTTGGAGACGGATTTTCTGACAAAGAAAGTTCTAGGAAGCAAGTATTTATTCAAAATAACTCACCCTCACAGTTACCAGGGTGCTGTACAGTGTAGTTAAGTCGAAGAATACACATTTCCTGTTGAAACAGACATACACTGTCATATGTTGTGTAGAGAGCCAGTGTCTCTACTGCGTGATCAAGGACAACTGAATATTTTGATATGCGTTGAACTGTATTATTATTCCATGTAAATTGGCAAACAAACTTCCATCACGCCGAGCGAATGAACTAGAACGAAAAAATAAACTAGCTAACCAACGATTAACCAACGAACGATTCACTGAAATTAAGAAATAATACAGCGAACAAAGAAACTAACAAACAAAGTAGATAGATATACGATGTACTTACAAGTTTTTCGTGCCTAGATCATGGAGAAACCGAATAAGCTCGAAAACACAAATGAAAAAAAAAAAATGCTATGTGCTTTTATCAAACACAGCATCTCAAAATGCAGAAAACAGACAACGAGACCAGCGGCTTAGCGTATTTAAGCTGTCCTAAAGTGTTCTACTTGAAGCCAACATGTTGAACCGTTTGATGAGCAGAAAGGTTCTTGGTATGAACGAGAACTCTCCACAGAGACGCATCTAACATCATGAGGCCCGAAAGCTTTGCACAAACAGTAATAATGGCAACCTATATTTACAACTCCCATCTCACTTGTTCAAGTACTAAGAGAGTATAAGTGTTTTGGAAAAAGGTATCCAAATGTTGTATTCAGCGTTTGACTTAAGTATTTTAAACATGATTTTAACTATGTCAATGAATTTACCTGAGCCCTGTTTGTAGCTAACTGCGTTTTGTAACCAGCATCCTAACGGCATTGCCATTAGGTATAAAGTCGGAAGGAAAAAACGATCAGAGAATAAGATGTAAGCCTTAAGTTAAGAATTACAGCTACGCTCCACTGAGTTATAATTTGATTGACGTGCAGTAGCTAAAACTTGTGCAAATACCTCGTTTTTCAAAACAGTGAAAACTTAGTCTTATTGAAATTAGCATGAAAATTAGCATGAAAATAACCATGACACTTTCTGCTCACCTCCAGTCACCATGTGGTCAACGGTGATGACGTTCTAATTGTTGGAATCGCTGTTAAACGTTTTGACACAAATCTGAGCTTCAATTCGATCCGGATAAATATGACTTACTTGACAGAAGGCGTAATTATGCTGCGGAGATGGCAAGTTGTATACTGTAAAAAAATATCCATGAACAGCCCTTATAAACCTCGGGGTTGCCTACTAATTTAAATTTTTTGTTTGGACCATCGAAGATCTTGGCTTATCTCAAACAAATCTTTAAGCTTTCTGCTTTCAAGTCCTCGACCCACAAGGCCATGGCATCCTGACTTCGGTTGGTAACACCATGAGTGACAGTCACGAAAATGGTTGGAGGAGATGAAAAACGCTGAAACATAAGAGGATGCGTTACACATTTTAAGGCCTTGCCGACAGACTTAAGGGTGAGAAGTTCAAAAGGAATAAATCAAACCATATTTAAACATTTGTAGGAAACATCACGACAAACGATAATAGTAATAATAATGACGATGAAATAATAATAATAGTAATAAATTATAAACTAAGTAAATGGGGTTCTGTGAGGCTATGGATTAAACAGCAATCCAGTCTACTTCCTTAGTACTTTTCGAGCTGTCTCCAAACTCCACAACGCAAACTGTGAATCCACTTTCAATAGCATCGTCAACCCAGATCGCGCCACCATTACGAGGATTTTGGCTCCTCTCTGTATGGCCAACGGAGGCAAAGACCTTTACTTTCTGTCGGTCATAGAAATGATACTGAAAGGATATTTCTTGCAAGTGAACAGATCTGGTGTGGTAGTAGTAACTAATTTTCTTTCCGGCCTTGAAACCAAGAGCTGTTAAGAAATAAATAAATACGCGTTGAAATAATAGATATTCTTATTTGCAGTTGTCCAAGAATTATAATGTGCCCTCTATTTGCGATCCGGTAAACTGTTCTATTGCTTCTGAGTGCGCCCCTCCCTCGTTCCTCTCCCTCTTTATTTTCTTCTAACCCGCGTTGTTATCAGTATAAAATAGATATTTCACGTCAATAATCCCCTTTCAGCCATTTTACGGCTATATAAAGGAAACTGTATCGACATAACATTACTTGCTGGAGAAACGAAGATGACAACAAAGACAGCAAAGAGCAAACCGACTGAGTGTTGGCACTCGCGCGACATCTTGCTCAGAAAGACCAGTGTATTTGCCTGCTGCAAATTAAAACCTCCCAAAAGGATTAAAGTCAAACATCTTTACCCGCAAAGACCTTTCCATTTCGTGAGGGAAAATCGAGTTTCGAAATACTAAAAGAAAAAAAATGATAACCAGCACGTTTATAGCAACTGGAGAGAGGGGGGAGGGGGAAGGGGTGGAGGCAATAAAGATATAAACAGCCTAACCCATTTAATTTTGTTCCATTTTGGGATTGATTGTCGAGTACTTTAACTTATATATGTCAGTCCTTTCTTTTAAACTACTACTGATGAAGTTTGCATAGAAATGAACAAATGGATATAGACAGAACACCTCCCCCCCCCTCGCCGCCCCACCTCTAAAGATTGAGGGTAACCCTTTACATCGTTCGCTAAAGATTCCGTTGAAGAGCAAGGGACAAGGTCTTGCGAATTGGAAGTGTTACGTTATAGATCTTTCGGGATTTGTATTTTTCTAAAATATTTAAAAAAGAAATTTAGGATTAATATTGCTCATGGCGTAGCTTGTATTTTTGGTTTACGCAGCTGATTGGACCTTAAGGCTATTAAATCATTCACAACTTTCGATTCATTCCAATCACGATGTGCTAAATTCCTATCCTTCCTTATTTCATTACATAGAGCAGTTCCCACAAATCTCCGGCCAGTTTTGATAAATTCAATTTCACACCATTTTTTCAGGGCCTCGGTTATTTTCTGTATTGTATGGTGGGTTTAAATGATTGTTTGCGTGTTGCGTGTTTCGAAATTCGTTTTGATCCAGAATTCATTCGCCTTTCAGTATTTTAAGCTTGGCCCAAATGAATGGTAAGGTCATAATATCATTGTTTATATATTTTGATTTTAGATATATGAAATTCATATATTTGCACTGCGGCGAACAAACGAATTTAAGAACTCCTCGCAGCTAAGAACACTGCTGAACTAATACTTGAAAATAGGACCCGACAAAAATTCAGGCCCGTACGGGATTTGAACCCATGACTACTGCGAGGATCTGCGAGGATCTCTTAAACTCGTTTCTTCACCGCATTGCAAATGTATGAATTTCATATATCTATCATCATTTTAGTTTACTTGGATGGTTTATCTGGACCCCAGCTCCCAGTTGGCTTGTTAGCTCAGTTGGTAAAACGCGGCAACGGTATCGCAGAGGTCATGGGTTCAAATCCTGTAGGATCTCTTAAATTCGTTTCTTCACTGCAGTGCAAATATATGAATTCATATATCTAAAATCCTTAAAGTTCTGTTGTTATCCAAGCCTGTTTTCTTCTATAAAATCCTCCCAGCTGTTATGCATATTTTCGCAGAGTGTAAGTCTATATGTCTGCCATGGCCGTGTAGATAATCTCGAATACGAGTAATAACTAAAGAAAACTACGCGGTAGGGACGGAGAATGTGTAGTTCCGCATATTAAAATGAACTAACATTAGGTGTTGACAATAGACAAAAGTATCAGTATCTAAGAGTGTTATCTTGAGATAACTGAACAAAGAGATTGGATTATTTTGCAATAGAGAAACTGTTCAGACAGTATCCTTTCGTCAGACGAGTAGCTTATGCTCGGAAGATTAGTCTTTCAAGACTCGATGTGCTAGTTTATCGATCCTTTTAAACATATGGTTTATATCCCTAATTGAGAATAAACTGAATGCTCGCAAGGAGTTTTTAAACACTGATTGCTAAGAAATAAAAGAAAGAAGACCTGATTGTTATGTAAACTGAAAATTATAACATCCTTACGTTTCTTTTTTTAATTATAAAATTTTCTTACTCTATTAGTTGCTGTAACCTTTCAAAAGCAGTAATTGTTTTGTTTTGTTTTGTTTTTCTCTATGTTAATTATCGATGTTGAACTGTTCAAAGCGAGCCACGTGTTTGAAGAAGAATTTAACTGAATGGCTGAGGTCTGCCGCTATGTTGGAAAGATCTCGAGTTTTACTCTGGTGGGATTCTGTTAAAGAGCAAGAGGCAAGCTCCTACTAATTGGAACCGTTCTACTATAGATCTTTCGCGATTTGTATGTGTCTAAAATAGAAAAAAAATGTTTAGGATTAATTTTGTTCATAACATAGCTTGCCATTGTTGGTTTACACAGCTGATTAGACCTTAAGGCTATTAAAGCCTTTACAACTTACGACTCTTTCCATTCACGATGTCCTAAATACCTTTCCTTCCTTATTTCCTTACATGGTGCAGTTCTAACAAATCTCCGGCCAGTTTTGATAACTTCGATTGCTTGCCATTTTTCAAGGCCTCAGTCAATTTCTGTAGTGTATGGTGTGTTTAAAGGATTGCTTGCATGTTGCGTGTTTCCAAATCCGTTTAAATCCCGAATTCATTTGCCTTTCAGTATTTTAAGTTTTGCCCGAAAGAAAAGTGAGGTCAAGATATCGTTACCAACTGAACTTCACATATTTTTTTCTTAAATTGATTAATTACGTAACAGTGAAATATTCGGTATTCGCCTATCAATTTTAATAGATTCAATTCCTCCTCCGCAATTTGCCTTTGATTGCGATTCTTATGCGAAGCTAATTAACGTAGTGCTATGCTTTCTATTAAAGCCTGCTTGCTTTCGTAAAATCCTCTTAGATGTTATGCATATTTTGGCACAGTGTAAGTCTAAATGTTTGTTACTGCCGTGTAAGTAATCTTCATTTCTTACCTTAAAGAAAAGAAAAAAAAATAAAAAAATAAAAATGACACAAATGGAGAGCAAAACCTGTTGCAAAGATTTTAACTGCCCGATAAATGTTGTCTTCTTTTGCAGGAATATTAATATCGGTAAAATAAAAGCAGAAAAAAACATAGATGGTTTGTGGATGTTGAGATAGGTGGGCTGTCGGAGACTTAAAAGTTAATAGGGTTTACTTTATTACCTACGGAAAATCCTCTATTGTCGGGGGTAGTGAAATGGGAACGAAGGAAAAATCTCTGAGTTTTGCCTTTAAGGTGTGGTGAAGTATTTTATTGAATACGAGTAATGACTAAAGAACTTAAGGAAAACTGCACGGTAGCAACGAAGCAGGAGTAGCTCCGCATATCAACATGAATTTACTTCAGGTTTCGATAATAGACAAAAGTTTCAGTCTAAGAGTGTTATCTTGACATAACTGAAAAAAGAGATGAAGTGCAGCAGTTTAGGAGAAGTGCCAAACAAGACACTGAAATCAAAGGTTAAGTAAACAGGCAAGCGAGAATGAACAATTCTTTATTTCCCAATGAACACGCTGTACGCCGTAAAGATTGAGATGCGAAGTCACGTGGCCGCTCGTCTGGCGAGATAACTCAAAACGTTTTCGTCAGACGAGCAGCTAATGCTCGGTAGGTGAGCCTTTCTAAACTCGACGTGATAGTTTATCAGTCCTTTTCGACTAATGGTTAATATCCCTATTTGATAATCCACTGAATTGTCATAAGAAGTGGCCCAATACTGATTGCTAAAAAACTCTGGAGAACGAGACTGATTGTTTTGTAAATTGAAAATTACAACAACGTCGTCGGGATTTCTTTAAAAAAAAAATATGTTTAATTTTTTTACTCCATTGTTTGTTGCAAGCTTTAAAAAGTGGTAATCACTTCTTTATTTTTTTCCTTCCTTTTTATTTTTACTATAACTTTGATAAGTTAAATATGTTATTAGATACGGGGCTCCGTTCGCATGACTTGTGCACCAGAATCTGACTTGATCGATAAGTTATCCGCCTTACGCTTCAGTTCCATTGGCTTGTCTACTGATGCACACTAAAAAGAGTGCACCTGTCACCATTGACTCATTTTGCTGTTCTCATTTTGCTCTTCTTCTGGACACAGCTGAGTATTGCAGCTGGAAAAGATGGAATCGAAAGTTTTGTGGCTGATAAATCGTGAGGAGAATTTCATTGTACTGATCTAATGTCATAATACACGTATAAATTCAAATTAAAATGATCCTTTTTCGTTTTTATTTATTAGCTTCTTGTTATCGTGTTTCGAGATGGAAGACATAAAAATTATGAGTCTTAAGATAGGTTTTGAATCGGATTGATGATCAGGCTGTAATCATCGATTCCACCAATCAATATTCTGTAGAAAAAGGACGATCAACCCATTCAATCTGTGGCGAATCCATATTGGTATGTCAAGTAATCGTTGACAAACAAAGCATTTGCCAATTTTCTGATCTGGATATTTATAGTATTTGTTGTGCTGATTGAATTTGTAAGTGAAAATAACCACGCATGATTATCATTATCGAAACTGAAAAAAAAAAACTTTCATGGGGCTCATATAGGTCTATTTCCTTCTTTAAGTTCAACATTCTGATCCTCGAGCGGTTTATCAAGGAAATGGTGACTATGCAACAAGAGAAGGACAAACATAGCGCTCAAATAAGGTATATTCTGCTCCATAGAAGAAAATCCGGTTTCCGAAATACTGGGTCTTGGAATCTGCTCCTTCCTAGAAACAACAATCTAGGATCCAACATTTTTTTAATCATAAATCTTCTGAGGTGAAATCTGAAGTCCAAAACAATAACAACAAGTCATCATCTTGATAGAATTGCTACCTTATAGTGTTTCATCATCAACAATTACCACACAACAATACTAATCTCTTGTTTTGTTTTTGTTCCTTTGTTGTTGTTGTTTTTTTTTTTTTTCAGACTTGGTGTGAAGGCATGCGTGGTTATAATTCCTCTGTAAGGGATCTCGTGGTTATTTGGGTTATTGGCACCATCACACAAACCTTTCGCTTAAATCTTCACAATCTTCAACTCTACACAGGTGAGGAGTAGATAAATGTCTGTGGAGATCAAAAGACTTAATATTTCTGACAGATGTACAGTCCCAGTAATCTTGTGATGATGTTATGTTGACCTCATTACTCTGCCAGCTCGGTGGTTTAAAAACTGTGTAAATCTTGTGAAAATCATAATCAAATCCTTATCGTCATAATTTGACAAAACTTCTCACTTCTCTATAATTCAACAGGGCTTCTTGATCTTTCTTCTTCACTGTGTGAGAAACAGCGAGGTCAGTGATTAATCGCTTAAAATTACTTCTCAAGATCCGGTATTATATCGATTTTTGTAGTTACAGTGGAGACCAGGAAGTTCAATTTAATTTCGATATTATATCAAAGAAATAAAGTACTGGTTCACGGGGCTTGTGCTTAGATCTGGACTAGCTGGAAAGCAAAAGCAGCATGACAAACAGAAGCACTATAGGACCAAAATTTTCAGTGTATTCACATATTATGTGGGGTATGTAACTCCATAAGTGCGCAGGAGCACAGTTTTCAAACAAATTCCTGTGTCTGAGAATGGGGGTGAAGGAAGAAAGAAGAAAGGACGCATTCCAGATGAAGAGTCAGAATGTAAGGTTCCTGTTGATAAAATTTACTACAGAGAGAAAAAGGAAGAAGTTATAGGACATTTTTTACATTTTATAACGGTACCTGTCCACAGTAGCTCCAGATAACTGAATAAGCTCAAGTTTCTATATGGCTTGTGAAAATTGGCTTCTACTGAAAGTCCACTCATATCATAGAACAATATAAAATCGAAGACAAAAAGAATACTACTACTCACAAACTCCTTGAATGTGATGGTGTGGCTAATTTGAATTGCAATTTACAGATAAGAGCTCGTTTGAGAGGAAGGATTCAGGCCATTTTCCCAGTGATGGATGATGGGACTAGCACAAAACGAACAACCGTAGTGCCACCGGAAGTAAATGAGGATTCCACAGCCATTGATGCGCCGAAAAAAATAAAAGTTAAACCACTGAGTGACAGCAAAAGAATTAAAAAGGTACCGAACAAAAGCTCCATGTAGTTGCCAAAATGTTACGTTGTACAAAAAGCGATAACTGAAATTGTAACTTCGTAGTACAGCATAGTCAAGGTAGACATTGCAAGTTGGGAATCCGGCAACAAATTATACAATACGATATGAAAACAGAACTCTTACAGAAAAGCCACGAAAAAAAAGCTAAACAAAACAAAACAATAATAGGGGAAGGAAATAAGTTATTATCTCTAGAGACAAAGAACCAAATGCTTTTTCACTCGAGAAAGTGACCGAGCAGTTGTTATTATCTACTGCACTACATATTTTGCCTCCGCTGCCATGAGCTGACAACGGCAAGTAAATTAATCCTCCACGAAACACTGTGTGTTTGCATGACGAGCGTTTGGCATCTCAGTTGCAATTTCAATTATACTACCTCAAGGCATTGATATAAAGACCCTGTCAGCTTTCAACTGAAACAAAACACAGAATGGTAGAATTAGAATGTTAGGTATCTTTTCTGTACCGCGTATGTATTGTTTTCTGTTTGATTAATAGCCTGATACCCAACAGTCACAAGCACAAATTCCAGTTTGATTTGCATGAGAAAACTGAAAATAATATTGCATCTTAATGAAATGCTATATTATGGAAAACCCTATCTTTTTATAAAGCTTTCGCCACCTGTGTACGGGCATACTGATCTACCCATCATCCACTTGTTTATGTGCGTAATTATGACAATATACCATCGGAGATGTTATAATGAATCTACGAGCTAAAAGTTAAGTTCCTTTAAGGCCATAAGGGGAAAAAGATTCGCACTTAAACGGTTTATAGTCTCGATCCGCGCTAAGTGAGATTTGCATCAAACAATTTTACTTCGCTGTGTAGGGCCATAAGTGAAGCAGTCTGAATAAGAGCTCTTCGCGAAGCAAATTTGTCATCGGTTATTTTGGATACTTGAATGTCAAAGAGGAGTCCTTTCATCTGGACGGAGCCTTCAACGAAATGCTTTTGCATAGACTACTAATCATTTTTGGTAAGTACTTATATGAAACCAATTCGTTGTAGTCAAGCAGTTTAACTAGCTTCCTGTAATGTTTTCTCCCTGATAATACCGCAGAATGTTTTCCAAATTTCTTGGTGTACATACTAACGCGATTGATTGGCGTGAAGTCTGGTAAGAAAAAAATAAAAAGAAGGAGGTGAAAACAAATCTGAAGAAGAGAGCCTTTAAATTTGTTCAGGTGGTTCCGTTTGTCATCTCATAGCTTTGGTTAAAACGAAATTTAAACAAGATGCAATTTAGGTGGACAGAACTATCGAAACCGGAACACAACGGGTAAATTTACCCCCGTTCTTAAGATTCTTGGCCAAACGTTTTTGATTTACTCTGTCTTATTTTTCTTTTCCATGCGGACTTTGAACACCACCGTCTTAAATTAATTTCCTTCCTTACAGTAAACGTAGTCGCTTTTTAGAGCGAGGAGACAATATTAATGCAACGATCATCTCTATTTAAGCAGATGTATTTTCCTGACCGTTCTATCGCCTCAAGCGCTCTCCCACAATAGAAGCCTTTCAAGCAATAATTAGGCCAGAAAACAGAAATTGATCTCAACTGTTTCAAATATATCAGTCACTGTAGTTATAAGTTGCGAGAACTGTGCTCTTTCATGGGCTAGGTTTTTTTTTTGTTTTTTGTTTTTTGTTTTTTTTCTGAGCAATAAGGCTCTCAAGAAAAACTTTACAGATGTTCCGGTATAGATGACATAACAGGAACACTGAATTATCGCAGAAAAATATGTATCACAAGTCCTTATAGGTTATCGAGGCCTCTTTAGCTTCTCATACTTTACTGGGTAAAGCTTAGGAAAACACTGTTACATTCTCTTTTAATTATTGAGCGAGAGGCAATCTCTGAAGATAACACCTTGTGTCCCTTGTTAGAGATGCTTTGTTTATTACAGAATATAAAGATCCTTGTCGACCACAAACATTTCGCGCTTATTCCGCTATTTTTTATGCTCTCTAAATTCGTGAAATTTTCGTTGTGGTCTCTCATCTAACTGCATCAGAGCGATTTGGATATATTAAGGTCTTAAATGTGGCAGTCTTCTGAAATTATGAGTTGTTTACGCAACCTACGCTAATAACACGATTCAAGTCTTTTCCTTAAAATATATTCTCGCTTCATAGTGCGTCTTCATTAGCGAAACTCATAGACCACTATCAGGACTCTAACGAGACAAGCACAACTAGTATGCGACACGACAGACAGCTTGATCGTTACAAAGATCTGGCCGCGGCAGGAAAGCGTTACTTCCATAAAATAAGAGGAAGGGCGGAGTTTGCGCTAGATGGCTCAGATGATTGTCACGTATTTCAGTTAGTTTAGTGGTTTCTCGCAATTTCTTCGAGGAGTTATTTCGACCTACACCTCGCGCGGAGTGTAGATTACAAGAAGCAAATGATGAGTTAAAAAGTATTGACACCCGGCGGGCCTCCAGGACTCCGGGCATTCGCAAGCGATTTTTAACTTCTGCCTCCATCATATATTATAATGACTTTCCTTTGCGATGTGATTCAGTGCGTTGATTTTGAATGAGGTGCCATTTACCCATCAGTATGTTCTTACCGGAAGATATTGCGCCAAAAATACACAGGACGAAATCACATGTTTCCGTATTTCTGAAACGTGGCGGAAACATGCAACTCCATGTTTCCGTTATGTTTACGTAAAAGTGGTCCGGTTCCGTTGTATACGCAGCAACGGAAACGCGAGAAAACGTCACGAAACCGGTAACGGAAACACAGGTTATCCGTCGTGTTTCCTGAACGGTTTAACATGTTTCTGCCACGGTTCCGTTTACGGATTCTTGCAATTTCGTCCTGTGATAGCAATAGTTTTTCCGTATGTTATTTTCTTTCTTTTTGATGGCCCTTCTCTACTAGGCCTGACATATATTTCTCTACATCTTCGTCAAGTATCTTCAATTCCCCTCTTTAAACATATTTTGAAACTCTGCACGTTATTACTACACGCGGAGGGTGTCGGATTTGTTCTTAGGATGCATACGCTTCTCCTTCTACGAATCCTTCCTTTATGGGTGGTAAAGCACGACCCTTGGAAGGCGTTAAGTGTAATACGATTGATTTTACCCACAGCTGCCCCTATATGGTTGACTAGGAAGTTCCACGTTTCCATTAGGTATCTTTTTCATCTAAGTGCTTGTCTTACTATTGATTCCCCTAACCCCCCCCCCCCCCCGCCTTCCCTACCCCTCACCCCTTGTTTCGGAATGGCTGTGAATTGAGGAATCATTTCTTTTTGGTTTTGTTACAGCTGGTATGACCATGCCAACTTCAGCACAAGGTATGTATTGTATTTGCGGGAAAAAAAAAGGAATTAACGAAAACTGTAAATGTTCTACGTTGTTCACCTTGCTAACCTCTGCCGTCAAAGATTATTAATTTAATTTTAATTTAACACAATTTATATAGCGCTAACTCCCCTAATTGACCAAAGCGCTTTACAATTCACAATATTAAAATAATTAAAAAGATCCCACTGGTAATAAAATATGAATAAATTAAATTTATAAAAATATCACAGTAAATCCTCTTCAAAATTATCAAAAAGTTAAACATTATATGCTTTTTTAAACAAAAAGATTAAACAATGTATTATCTGTTGCTCAATAAATAATAGAAGGCGACCCGTTCTAAAAGATAACTGATATGTTATTGCCTGTAATTGTCCAAAAGAGGAGGGAGAGCAAACAAAGCGGCGGTTTTGGCCTAGAAAATTTAGAAGGTAACATCAAAATCAAAGCGGGGCCCATCCTAAACAACTAAAAAAATTCAGAGAAAGAACTAAAGGTTCTAAACATCCTTACGATCTTTTTCTTTTTTTGGCTTTTCTATACAAACTCTCGATACCAACCACTAACTACTCTGTTAACGAGTGGAAATGAAAAGTGGAAACTGATTAAAAACAAAAACAAAAACAAAAACAAACAAACAAAAAATCACAGACACACGCAAACTTAAACAGAAACTGCGATGCGATCCTCACCAGGTTGGAAACGCAACTGGGATTGTATTCGAGCAGATAAAGGATAAAGAATCAAGCGAAAAAGAATATAAGCAAATAATATACAAGTGGAATAAATAAATTTAAAAATATATATTAACGATATGTGTATGAACGAGGAACAGCATTTACAATTATAAATGTCTCTGATTTATGTTCACGTATCTAACGCAGATGGACATTGCTCCTACCCTAATGATACACTCGCACCCTCAGAGCTGAACTGCTCGGACTGTCAGCAACATCTTGATAAAATGCGTCAGTTCTGGCATAGGATGGAATGTGGCAATGAGACACCCACGTCTATTGACAAAACCTGTTGCAGATCTTGGTGTAGGCAGTTGGCCTCTTTGTTCAGTCAGACGGTTTCCTGGAGAGATCACTGTTTTAAAATGTGGGGGTGCAGAGAAAATGAAAAAGCTCGCATGCCGTTTTCTATTATATTGACAAATACAACCGACTCGTCGTATTTGGGCAGAATCAAAGTGGAACAGTGTCTGACACTGAATTTTCCTGCCATTAAGCTAACACCATCAAGCGAGGTAGGTGTATTTGATTTTCTTGCAACATTTTTAGTCTCTATAGTTATTGGTCCTTTAATTCCACCCTTTAAAGAGTGTACAAACAAATCCCCCCCAACCCGAGTCCGCATAGTTATCGATATAAGTTCGACTTTCGCACGAATCATGCAAAGCTCTAGAAACCCCTGGTAATGAGATGTAAATAGAGGAGTTCGATCAAGAGGTCAGGAAATTAAACTCCGCTTAAGTCATTGCTGGCGCTTTGGCTAAAGAAAGCTCAATTTTCCACAGACTGTGAAACCCATGAATTTATTAATTCCTTCTCAGTTCCCAGTCCAGAGAGTTGTTAACAACATCCTAAAAGAAGTGACCAACTCAGACTGTGTAACCCATGAATTTATCAATTCCTTTAAGAGTTAGGCTACTGAAGGTTACGTTCAAACCAACTACTGATACCTTATTAAGAATTTGTTTCGCCTTATCAGTTTTCAAACAAGAAACTTGTTGATACTATCCTAAAAGAGGTGATCGGCTCTTCTGGCAATAACATAAATCAAGAAAAGATGGTACGCGCTTTCCTCACTGTTACTGATTTGGAGGAGTTCATTGGGAATTATGCTCAAAATCACCTTAATCAAACCGTACCTAAGATTGACATCCGTGGTGAACATGCTGGTAAGTAGATCTTAAAAGCTGACTTGGAAGTTTTTATGATTCCTATTTCAGAGTTCAGGATGAATACATACATCATTCGTGGCAGATTTTAGAAAAATTTGCCAACGCTACAACTTTTTCGACGTTCTGGGGGTAAACTTTGCCTGTAGGAACCCTTCATCGTCTCATTTTCGCGACACATGAAATGTCTTCTACCTCTTTTTTGCTGTTTTATAACAGCAAAGTCTTATCGCTCGTCAGTTATCTCCAATTCCAAGAATTCTTTTTATTTTACATATGTTCTTCAATATCGTCATAGTTATGAATAGGTCATAAAAGAGTGAAAAAAAAAAAAAAAATGAATGGGATGAATAAATAAATTGAGAAAATAAAAATAAGAAATCATTTGAATTCATCGCAGTGATTTGTTTTTTGATTTAAAAATGATCACCGGCACTTTATCTGACAATTGAATGGAGACCGCTCCTTTGACTGATGATCCTTGCAAACTACTCGCATTTACTAAAACTTTTGAGGACGATAACTTGTGACTACTATGAAAGCATCTACATTTATTTTGGCCCTCACTTAATATAAGTCGCTGTTTTGCAATTAGATATTTTGGTCAGGAAGATTTTCCACGAAAATGAGACGAGAGTAGAACTTGAGGATGATAAAGGAGAAAACTACGTCAGTGTCCTTGTTACAGGCTTGGATAACGGTTAGAAAGCTAATCTTTACTTTTTTTTTTTAAAGCATAGAAAATAATCTATTTTTGCCGTATTATTCAAATTATTTCAGCGATTATCATTGTTATTGGTCAAAGGGGGGCTGGGTTTCAAGTTATAACGAACATTCAAAATGAATCGCTGATATCTTAATCCAGTTGTTTTGGTTTTCTTTTACTTGTTTATGTGTCCTTTGGTCGAAATATTTTATTCTTATTACAAGTTGGGCATGCCAATGAAACACACTAATAAACTCGCAGGGTTTTTAAACTGTGATAACTTGTCCTTTTTTCTCGATATTCTCGTAGCATTAAAATCGTTTCCATCATTACATCTTAGGATCAGTTGTACTTTGTGTCATTTACAAAGATCTCCATGAAGTATTCCTAACAGGCCAGACCGACTCTGCTCCTGTCACTAAAATCAGGTTTGCTAAAACTTAGTATTGCATAGAGTATATTTCATTTCAAATAAATCTGTTTTGGTGCGCTAATAACCTACATAGGGCATTTTAATAAGAAGAATTTACTCGACTTAAATTTGAATTTCTCGTTCTTTTTTTAGTTTCTTTCGTGTTGATCCTGTTTTGCTATCTTTTTATTAATTTATCTTTTTGTCTTTTGTCGGTCTGTTTGTTTCTTTGATTCTTTTTCTTTTTTCTGTTTTTTTTTTCTTGTTTATTTGTCTTTTGGGAATTCAACAGTAATATCTTGTCTGCAACGATATGGTCGAGGAACAACACTTTCAGGAAGAATGTTACATTGAAATTTAAAAACCTAGTGGTAAGTTACAATTTATTGAGAAAGAAAATTCGTAACTTTATCTTGTGTTTTGATTTGATTTAATTTGTTTCTTCTTCTTCTTAATAATATTATTATTAATATTGTTATTAATGTTATTATTATTAATATTATTATCATCATCGTCACTATTATCTTTATTATTATAATTTCTATTGTTATTGTTATTAATATCATCATCTTATCACGTCAAGATCCTATTTCTTTTTCAAGGAGTTTCTTTAAAGCGAGAGGAACCAGACTAAAAATCTTGTAAACAATTCTTTACATGTATCCAAAGTGATAAGGAGGGGTCTGCAAAATTCCGGGCAGAGCACTCCCACCTCCTCATCAGTCAGCTAGTCGCTGTCCTACGTAATAATAACGGTACTTTACGGTTTTAGGATGCACCGAGGAGAAGCTGCGTGTTTTGGAATACTTCAAAAAACAGGTAAACAGCTCTGGATGAATTGATGACATCGTTCACGTCAAATTATCAATTTGCTAAAGAACTTTGCTTTTGTGCACTGGTACATCACATTGTGTGGTCACCTCTTACTCCTTCTTTTCCTCCTTCTCAGCTTCTGTATGCTCAGCGGTCTAAAGCTGGCAGCTGGCAGTTGTTTTGTTCATTTGGAATCTAAATACTGCTCTTCTGACTGTTTTCTGCTGTCATTCTAGTTGGTCAGGACAAGGGTGCCTCCTAACATCGAGGAACGAATCTCACACCGAGTGCAGCTGCAATCATTTGACTCACTTTGCAGTTCTTATGCAGTTTGACAGAGGAACCAGCAGTAACGTTTTAACTAAGGTAGGAATATTGCTAAACACACATGCATTGATTTCAGAAGGAACTAAGACTAGACAGCATTGACGTGGCACTTTTTCCTACATGTCCACAATCCAGGTAGATGGTGTGTAGCCCTCTTCCGTTACTAATATTGAGCGCCGTTTTTCTATTCATTCTTAAGACTGACGAAAAAGCGCTGGAAATTCTTACATATGTGGGCTTGTCTTTCTCTCTGGTTGGAATCTCTTTAACGATCATCAGTTATGCTGTTCTTACGTAAGTACATGATATAGTTCCACCCAAGAATTCCAAAGCAAGCTCAGAATATAGACCAACAAGAAATTATATCAGTTTAAATGTGTAAAGTTTAGATTCCTTTAAGCAGCCAAGTCGAATAAAAAATATAACCAGGCTTTGTATAAATGAGGATGGAACTGATTTAGAATAAAATCGGTTGTTTATTTTTGATCAGAGACATGAGTGGACCTTTATCTCAGATTCGAGTGAGTCTAGTCGCTTCACTTGGTGCAGGTCAAATTATCTTCCTAACTGGAAGTGGTGCTGTCGAGAACAAGGTGAGATATTGTATCAAACGAGAAGAGAAGAATCTTCTTTGTTAAATCTTGATGACATTGATGCAAATCTTAACTCAACGTTTTCATTCCTGTGCAGTCTGCCTGTGTTACAGTAGCAGCTTTTGTGCAATATTTCCTAATGGCCGCTTTCTGCTGGATGTTGATCGAGGGAGTTTATCTCTACCTGTTTGTTGTAAAAGTTTACAACATCGATGATAAGATGAAGGTTTCACATGGATTTTCATGGGGTAACTATGAATTAAAAACCCATTCTCTCTTTGATAATCTTTGGAAAAGTAAAACATGACTTACCATGAACATTGCGAACACGATCATCGTCTTAGACATCATCATCATTTGACTCTGTTGTCACTTCGAATTTCGAATCCACAGGTCTACCCGCCGTTGTTGTTTCCATATCGTTGGGCATTGCAGCAGGAACCGGACCGGGGATTAAAAGCTATATCAGTGCAAATTTGTAAGAAGAGAATGATTTTTTCCTCGTGTGATTTCCCTGTCGCGAATCCTCATTTAATGTTGTATTTTTCTTGGCTTTGTTTGTTCGTTTTGTCTGTTGTTTTTGTTATTGTTATTGCTATTGTTTTTTGCTTTAATTGATTGGTTTGATGCTGCTGTTGTTGTTGTTTTTGTTGTTTTGTTATTTCTTTGTTCTTTTGTATTACTTTTCATCAAACCTGACATGGAGGGTACTGCGTACATGCAGTCGCAAAAAATAATTAATTAACTGATAATGTATTAAAAGTTTCGGATACTTGATTTTTATTCAGCTGCTGGATGTCATCCTCTAATGGCATGATCTGGATATTTGTTGTATTTGTTGTACTGATCGAGTTGGTAAGTTGAATTCTTATATTTTTATCGTTTCCCTCTTTCACGCTTTGCCTTTAGTTATCGTTGCATCGTGAGCATTTCTTTCGCTTGCCGCTTTTTTTAACCTCGTTGACTCTGTTCAATAGTTTTCAACGAAATATAAAATATGTACGAAATACACATTTTGCTTGAGGTGGCCTTTATTTCGGGAGATGCCGTCAGCGGTTACCAAGATTTTCAGGTTGGGTCCTGATTCGAATCTCTCCCGGGTTGTTGTTTTGTGTTGTTTGGCGAATGGAATGATGAGGGGGGAAGGGTTAAACTTTTAACGAACATCCAATAAGGCCGATAGGAGAACTTAGCTCAAGTGCAAACTTCTCTTTCCTTTGTATAGTTCGATTGTTTTCGTTTCATTTTGTTTTGTTTTGTTTTCAGTTAAACACGCTGATACTGGTACGAGTTATCAAGGAGATGAAAAACATGCAGCATGCAAAAGACAAAATCAGTGAACAAATTAGGTAAGTATTTTAGCGGCGCCAATGGTAGATCCATATAAGTCATTATCCACTTACTTTGCTGTCTTATTTAAATAATGCCAACTCACAACAATAATAAAAGGAAATTATCTTGATTTTATTATTTTTCCGTGATTCTATAGACTTGGTGTCAGGGCATGCGTGTTGATGATTCCTTTGCTAGGGATCACGTGGCTATTTGGTCTTCTGTCGCCCATGCACAAAGCGTTTGCCTACATTTTCACAATTTTCAACTCCACTCAGGTAAACTGAACACAGCTTTTAGTGAATGAAGTCCGTGCTCATACGGAACCAACGTAAAAGAGCGATTGGTGGATTTAACTCTGATTGAGATATTTCTGTTTTAAGTATGAATCTTGACAAAGGTAAAAGTCAGTGCTCAGAGTGCATCTCATCTCAGAGTACAAGTTCACCCGGCCCATATCTATTATGAATTCGTCTTTCCTGACACAAAAATAACTTTCACATTATCCCATTAATACATACTTGAAAAAAACTCACCCTACGTGGCTGATGAACTTATAACAGTTACAACATTATTTAGTAAACGGTGTTCAACCCTTTAACTTCCAAGATATTATTAGTAATTCTCCTCACTGTCTGCTATACAATTCTTCTGATTTTACTTGTGAGAATTTGGTATTGGATCAGCTTATAATCCCCTAATTGAAACCTTTTTTTGGTTCTCATCACTTGTCTTCTTGATTTGTATTGATATTGTAAGGAGAAATTCCGTCTTAATCACTCATGGGAATTAAAGGTTTGAAAAAGGAAAAAAGGGAAAAACAGATCATGATTGTAAGATTTGTCCATAACAACAACGACCCTCTTTACAATTATGTGAAAAAGAGAAAGTCAGTTTTCCGGAGTAAAAGGAAACCTCAATATAACATAACAGTTAGTTATTTTTTACCAGTGGTCAAAGTTTTGCTTATTGAAACGGAGTCGATTTAGGACATGACAAGAGAACACTAATGGCTTCACAATCGAATACCTGAGATGATAAAAGTTTTCTTGATCTAATTATATTCCTCTCGATATTCCTGAAATGTTTGAAAAGTACCGCGTGTAGGCAAGGAGTTGTACTACCCCTTCTTTTAAAGTTTACTAGGTGGTAAACTTTGTGTAATGCAGAGACAGAGTAGAGAACTTGTGATTAATAACAGTAAAGGTTCGGACATTTTTGCCGCCCAGCAACATTTAATACTGAGAGGTTTAGGGTTGGGGGATTGAATGAAAGCGCTTTGAATCTACTAAGGGCGTTAATGTGATTTCCCACATTGTGATTTCACAGGGCTTCTTAATATTCCTCCTTCACTGCGTGAAAAACTCAAAGGTATGTTGTTCAAGATTATTTTGAAGTCTCTTTGTAAGCTTTAGATTTTTTCTCAGATTTTTACCAGGCAGGGCTTCCGCTTTTAAATAAGGAATTAAATTCGACGTTTTTATATGTGCAAAGCACATGGAGTTGTACAATTCTTGAGATCGTTTTGATATCAACTTATTCATGCAGATTAGATCTCGCTTCAAAAGAAGGATCACTGGTGCCACCCTAACTGCAGCTGAAATAAGAGGCATTAAACGAGCTCCGCAAGTAAATGAAATCATCAACGTGATATTGCCAAGGAAAATCAATGTCCAGCCTTGCAATAACCGTGAAAGTGGCCTTGAAATCTCTGAGATCTGAGTCGTCACCGTAGTGTTGTTCCTTAGCTCAGATCTATGCATATCTTAAATTAAATTCGTTAAGAAAATCTTAGAGCAGATATAGATAATCAGCTTCAGAAGGCGCTGACAGCTTTGTATTGATCCGAAAAGTAATGAGAAAATCTCACGTATTCATGATTTAAGATCTCCTCCTTGTCGAATAAAAGAGCACTGGATACAGTTGTGTTAAGAAGGTTTAGCTAGCATCCAAGACAGGAAGAAATTTGAAATAATATTGATGAAAGCCTTTCATTGTTAATAAATGAGCAATCAATACGTTTTATATTCTCGTGGTTTCAATTTGACATGTTAAAATACCAACAAAAGCAGCAACAGTGCTAACTTGTATCAATTCTCAGAGAAAGAAAAGTTTGCACCAATGATGATAATCAAATTACAATTCCTTTATCTACCTTGTTTTTAGTAAAGATAGGACAAGAAACCAATCATAAAGGGCTTATCTGAACAGAAAAATCTCTGGAACAAGTGCTCCACCCCCTTAACCAGGGTGCACTCGTCGGCCTTTTGCCAGAAAGGTGCGAATTCCATGCACTGAATCAAAAGGAAAATTTGCGACGTAAGCAGCGAGGTTTTTGAATGAAATGTCGGAACAGTCGTCAAGGGCTCACAAGGGGAATAGGCTAAATATTAATGTCTTCATTGTCGTTTTCCATGTGCGCATACGAAATGTGTGAATTACATGAGATGTCTACCCACAAAAAAAATGTATCTTTCCAACTGTTACAGTATCTCCTCTTATGATACGCGAATTTTAACAGTATGCGGGGATATTGTTTTGGTCATAAACGTAATGAAAACTCCTCAACAGCACCGACCTGCGTAATCAGACCTGGCTGAGTTCGACGTTCTACAAAGCAGTATCTAACCCAGCTATTCATGTGAGCCACATTTATGACAAACTTCTCATTTCTTAATGTTTTGTTACCACTATTCATAGCTGCAAAATAGGGGAGGGGGGTGGGGGGTTGCATATTCTTATGAGGCCCCCCACCCCCTCACCTCCTCCCTTAATCCCTTCATCGGCTTTCCATTGGTGTTGGCGACGATTGATCCACCTGAAAACCATGTGACCACCCAAAATCCCAGCCCTCTACCCTAAGCTACGGATAAAAACTAGCTCGTAAGAGCCAAGGAGGCCCTTGTGGTTTTTCGATGAAGATTTTGAAATTTGAATAAGTAGGGGCATAACTCTTAATGGGGAACTGAAGCGTAAAATCGTCATTTTATTATCATCTATTTCTAGGTAGCTTTAAAGGAATAAGATAAAGTCTTGATATTTATTTTCGTTCGCTTCTTGTTATTTGAAGTTGTCCAGAGTTGAAGGGCACTCAGAAAGAAAAGACTGGCAAAAAGGCAGTGCTATTTCTTGACACGCTGATGCATGCTGAAACACAAAATACAGACATTCCTGCAACACAGTGAAAAGTTATTGGAGAACTGTGTATACTTCATTGGCGAATTTGAGTCCTTGATAACTGACACTAAGGTTAATCGAAATCAATGTTTGTATGATAGAAACTCGTTTTCGCTTGTTCACGGTGGCGCTTTTCAGGTGAGAGCCTGGGATTATATGCTTCGAATATCTTCTTCGCGGATATTCGAAGCATTTCGGACTTGAGGTCACGTTTGTAACAATGTCGTTCGAAATGTTGATAACAGACGCGTATGTCTTTCGTGGCGGTGAAATTTGCCTGAGACATTTTCTTGCCAGCCATTTTCTTTTGAGGATTTAGGCTAGTGGTTGCTTAATCTGCGTTTCAACTTTACTCTTAGAATTTGTACCTACAAATACTGTACAATACAATTGCTGATGGCTAGGAACTAAATTAGGCAAGTAGAAAGTATCCCTTTATTACTTCCGTGCTATTTCGTGGGAAGCCACCTGAATATCCATATGGTTGATGTTAAAGAAAGCCTAAAAACACCAGCTCTTTCTCAAAATGAAATTGACACTGACCTAGAACAAGCTCAAACTGTGTTTGCTCGCCTACTACTGAGCTGATAAGGTTATGAATATCTTCCATATATGAAACTATCGATTATTTAAAACATGAGAACTGGGGAAAAGTAATAGAACGTGGACGGCCATATAAAACCGTTTATGCAAACAACAGATAAAAAGCACAAACATATTTACCGATCAATTTATGACTTCCAAGCCCTGGCTGAGACCAGACATTTTCTGTAACAAACATGCTTTATTATTCCGTTTTCGTATTTATTCGAATGTAAGTGAAACTCCGCACGTCGTGTTATGGTGCACGACCGTGCGGTACATAAGGATTTTTCACCATAGTAGCTCTTCGGGGAATAGGAAGTACTTGCGCACGCGATCTCTTATCATAACATAAAAGATTTCCTCGTGTGGATCATGCCAAATGAGGCTTTCTGCCGTATAAAACTGTGACCAAATGGAATTGCAAATTTTTTTGATGGTGTGTCATGTAAAATTTTCCTTGTTGTTGTTCTGATGCAGAATCTCTGCATGAGAACGAGTTGGAGCACAAAAGGGCAGGATTCCACTGTTAGATATAGGAAGCAGAATGTAAGGCTAGGAAAACCACCCCTTCCTCTTACCTGATACCGGATTACAAGTCTTTCCGTCTCCAGTAGACTTTTGGCTACACGAACACGTGTAGGATCCAATGGTGTTAGTACATAAAGCAAAACTATGGCAGTTAAAAGCACCAGTGGTACACTCGCCGACATCTGAGAGACGTAAACAAACAAGTAATCAAATTAATATTCTCAAGGAAAAAGAAGGCAAAGAAGCAAAAAACGCAACAATTTCAGAAGAATAATTAACAATTATTTACCAAGGTAAAGGTGAATAGAGGTGATTCACCATCACCTTCACCGGCACCGAGGTGAGTAATTGTTCTAGTTTATACTACACAGCTGCCTGAAAAATGGTCGGAAACTATACCTTTGACGTGCCATTCTGTCTATTCGGCTTCTTATGAATGGGACTAGAGAAGGGAAAGGAGACATAAAAAGGTAATCACGAAGCAAAGTTACTGGTTAAGAGTTATGTCCCTACTCACGCACAGTTTTGCTATTCTTCTTCGGGCTAGCTAATCAGCGAGCGCGAAAAGTACTATATATTCACTTGTGTGGTATATACTAATCCAATTCAGTATTCAACTTTCATACATTGTACGAATTCCGATTTTCTGATTGACTGATTTGTGCCGCGTGATACTGGGTTGTGACGAAACAACTTTATTGTATTGTAATAGCCGTGGTGTAAATTATTGTACTGTAATAGCCGTGGTGTAAATTATTGTACTGTAATAGCCGTGGTGTAAATTATTGTGCTGTAATAGCCGTGGTGTAAATTCAACGCACTATTGTCATTACACCATGGCTTTGGCTGACTTAAAGTTTGACGATTTCTCAGATGCAGACATTGATTCTCTAATTGAAGATGCAGTTCCTAAAAACACCAAGAAAGCAACTGCTTGGGGAATACGTGTTTGAGAGGTATGGTTGCGAATTTCAAATTTTTTTTAGTCAGGCTAGTTGATGTGTTTTAGCGTGTTTTCAACAGTATAAATTCAGTGTATTCAGTTTAATTAATAAAAATATTAACGCACTCATTGCTCGTAAATTATCGGCATTTACCTGTACGCGTTCACAAACAATGAACTCGAAATGTTCTATACCGGACTTGGCAAAGTCTCGAGCGGTATTGAAATCTCTCGTCCATTCCTAGTGAAGTCGTGCAAGTAAATCCCCATGATTCATTCCCTGAGTGTGTAAACCTGTAATTATACCGTGAAAATAATGCAATCGAGTTCCTGTGTATCAAATTCGCCCTGTCCATTGATTTTTGCAGGAGAATTATCCGGGTAAAAGAGAAGAATAAGCAGATTTGGAGAAGTTCAAAGTCCGATTGAACTCTTCGACCATGCTTAAAAATAGCCAACTGGTTTTTCTAATGCTGGTTGGAAATTTTAAATGCATGACTTTTTAGTGCATTCTCCTAGACGCTTATAACAATTACTCACCACTGCAAGTTTTCCCATTTCCTGAATACCCAGCCTTGCATTTACATGTGTAGGACCCAATGATATTATAACAAACGGCGTTGACGTCACAGCTGTAATAATTGGAAGAACACTCGTCTATATCTAATAGAAAAGTATGAAAATCCTCAATAAAATTCATTTAGAAATTTCTAGGGCTGATAAAACGATAAATATGGAATTTTCCTTTCGTGTTTACCTCAATAAGGTTTTGTAGGGACATTAATATCGGTAAAATAACAGCAGAAGAAAAACATAAATGGTTTGTGGATGTTGAGACGGGTGGGCTGTGGGGGACTTTAAAGTTCATAGGGTTTATTTTACTACCTTGGGACAATCCACTAATGTTTGGGGCAGTGAGATGGAAACGAGACAAAAATCTCAGAATTTTGCCTTTAAGGTGTAGTGAAGTATTCTATGGAATACGAATAACTAAAGAACTTAAGCAAAACTGCACGGTAGCAACGAAGTGTTAGTCGCTCCGTGTATCAACGTGAATTTGTTGTAGGTTTGACAATGGACAAAAGTTTCAGCCTAAGAGTGTTATCTTGAAATAACTGAATAAAGAGATTAAGAGCAGCCGATTGGGAGAAGTGCTAAACAAGACATTGAAATCAAAGGGCAAGTAATCAAGCAACTCTTTAGTTCCCGATGGACACACTCTTCGCCGTAAAGATTGAGATGTAAAGTCACGTGGCCGCTTGTGTGACGAGATAACTCAAAACGTTTTCGTCAGACGAGCAGCTAATGCTCGGCAGGCGAACCTCTCAAGAATCGACGTAATAGTGTATCACTCCTTTTCAACTTATGGTTGATATCCCTATTTGATAATAAAGTGAATGGTCATAGGAAGTGGCTCAACACTGATTGCTAAGAAATCATGGAGAGTAAGACTGATTGTTATGTAAACTGAAATTTATAACAATATCGT